TTTGTTTCCCTTTCTATCAAGTGGGAACAAAGTTTTTCGTTTAGTTGGGGGAGAAAATTGGATTGTTTTATGTATTGACAAGTTTACTGGCTAATAAAAAGGAAGTAGAGATCCAGGTGGAAGAAATGGATGAGCCGTCTTCAATCTAACTTATTGTTTTTTTGCATTATTTCTACCCTTGAAGTCCAACCCAAATACAATCAAGAAATATTACTGGGTGTCATAATTTTACGCATGCAATTCGAGTTCGCAGTCTATCCTCTTGTGGTCCCCAAATCTGTACGCCAACATAAATAGGCAAAGATATTAATGGAAATGGGTACCCAGAACATGATCTGCATTGCTTGTCCAATCATGTTTCTCCAACATAGTTCAATCAAAATGTTAATCCAACAGACAAGTGTTTCTGTCAATATCCATTGCCGTCAGATCCAATATTTGCTCGATGATGCTAATGCCAGAAAAAAGCACATAGACTAAAGTTCTGCAACTATTTCCTAAAAATAAGAAGGGGTTCACCAATTCTCATGAGCTAATCCTCAAGTCAAAGATGCTGTCAGCATCTGAAGTGCCGTAAGATGAAAACTTTATAGTGACTGAGTTGCTGTCATGTTTGACCTTTAGTTTTTTTTTTTTTTAAGTTTGAATCCTATTTGCCGTTAACGTCTTGAAAAATCATCTGTTTAGCACAATCCAATGTGTAAAATCCATAAAAGAAAGAGGTACGTAGGAGGAACTATGAATACTCCATCGCAGAACTAGCTCGATCTAGATTAGACACGTCAATGAAGACAAACATATGAGGCTTTGGATTTAACTCACTTAAGATATTATCCTCGTTGGTCTATCCCATTCCGAGCTCTTCACGGTATTGTCATTTGGTGTACATGCAAGCACTTTCCTAGGAGGTCAAACATACTGGTAGATCTCTAGCCTGAACACGCTTAACTTTGAAGTTCTCAAGCAAAATTTGCCGTTACGTCAAAAAGCGCTTCCGTTAAGTAATTACACTTTTCACATGTATAACCCAATTACGCTTTCCCTTGTTCGATGTGCAATTCGGTTCATTCCTGATCCCTTCATCATCCTAAAAACCTATCAAAAATTGCTCCTTGTTCGAGCCCTTTGGCCCAGCTGACTACTCCCTACTATTATTAGACTGGGTCATTACAAGCCCACCAGCTTCCGCCATGTTCGTCCCCGAACTATAAACTTGTTGAAAGGGGTCCCTCCCTCGTACCATATCATGATATTCATGGATTAACTTACTCAAGGTGTTAGATGCTTTGGCACGTCCCATTCTGAGCCTTACCGGCGTACAGGGAGGCACTTTCCCAAGGAGTCACCCATCTTAGTAGCATTCTAGCCTGAGCATACTTAACTTTAGAGTTGAAAAGCAAAATTTGTCGTTACGTCAAAAGTCGACTCCATGAGTTAATTTCAATTCTTACATATATATCCCAGGCACGTTTTCCAGCTGTTCGGTGTGCAATTCATTTCATTCCTACCCCCTTCATCATCCTACCAGCTTCTGCATGCGTCGTTCTTCCCCAAATCACACACCTACTGAATAGGGTCCCACACTAATACCTTATTGTAATATCTTGGATTAACTCACTTGAGATATTGCTCGCTTTATCCTATCCCATACCGAATCTCATGGATAGAGCACTATCGGATGGGTGACCTCTTGAGAAAGTATGTGCCTATATGCCAAATGACAAAATCGAGAGGCTTGGTATGGAACGGGTCAAAGCGGACAATATCTCGATTGAGTTAAATCAAGGACGTCACAATATGGTATCAAAGCAGGACCCTCTTTAGTAGACGTGTGGTTCGGGAAGAATCACGCAGAAGCTAGCTCCCGGCAGGCTTCTAGGATGGCGAAGGGGACAGATGTGAATTGAATTGCACATCGAATAGGGGAAAGCGTGCCTGGGATGTGTGTGTGTGAGAAAATTGGAATTAATTTATGGAGGTGCTTTTCGACGTAACGGTAAGTTTTGCTTTGGAACTAAAAAGTTAAGCGTGCTCAGACTAAAGCACTACCAGTACGGTGACCTCCTTCAAAAGTGCCTACTGTATGCCAAAGGATAAAACCACGAGATTCGGTATGGGACGGGCCAAAGGGGATAATATCTCGAGTGAGTTAATTCAGTAACGTCACAAAACATATGCCAAACATTTCTAACTTTGAATGTACAATGACTTAATGGTTAAATCACCAACCATATAAGCTGACCCAGCAAATGAAGAGAATGGACGAGGAGGAATAACCGGAAACTAGCGGAATGGGTAGAATAGGGAAGACAAAACCCAAAATTTAAAAAAAAAAAAAATCCTCCCCTTATATTCACATAAGAAAGAAAACATAAAAAATGAGAACTATAAAAAAAGAATCAAACAAAAAATAATTTTTTTTTGTTAATATCACGAAAAATCCAAAGCTGGTATACATGACAAATTTCACCCAAATTAATTTTTTGGTTATTAAAAATCTCAAACTGGTACGCTCGTGACATATTTAAGATTTTTGATTCTTTGTCAATTTCAACCAATTCTTCACATCTTCGAGGCTTTCGGTTCCACATCATTAAATCGTCATTATGTTGCGAGCATTAGTAGCAGCTTCCCATTGCGGCTCTGACGAAGCCGATTGATCCCAAACAGCATGCATAGACTCGCAATGCTCGAGGTGACCGGTAGCTAAGAGGTCATATTCTTTTCAGTATCTACGTGGGCTGCCTGGCTTTTGGCGGGTAAGTATCATGGCTATCCGCCATCTTGGCTTCCAGCTTCCATGAATAGCTTCCAGGAAGTTAGTTCTTTCGAATTGCATTTTAATTCTCCGCGTTTGCTCGTCACCACGACGCCGATTTACACCAGAATTGTTATTCCTTCAAATTCACCCTTGAATCACAATTCGTCGTGCTACATCATTTTCGCCGTTTTGAAGTCAAATGTCAATGTACCCGGACCTTGCGCCAATCTTTCTCTCAAAATGATTAGTCTTCAAATGATTTCATGTACCGCTGCCAATTGACACTTTTTAATCGGTATCTCTGCTCCTTTCAATAATTGGTCAACTTTATACCGACAATTGTCAACCAACTACTATGGTATATTGATGGTTGCTCATGGGCATCAATAAGTATAGCCATCAACAAGAACTCCTGTGACTCGTCCATGGCCACACCCCAACCGATCCCAAGCCATGTACTTGTTTGAATCGATATCATGTTGACTATAATGACTTGGTTGATTTTTTGCGTAAACTCGTGGCTTGACGAGAGTATCCCTGAACCAATTGTGTGTGTGTAATCGGCCATCGCCATGCTTGAGAGCTTGGAGACTTGGCGGCCATGGCTGCAAAAGAGAAGAGAGAGAACGGCCACAATGTTGATGCAACGCTTGATAGAGGAGTCGTTGGTGATACTCTCAGAGACGACTTCATGATGTGGAGTGAGATCAGACGCGGAAGGAAGAACAACGAACGAAGAAGAATATGAAAGATAAAAAGAAATGAAAATAAAAGACAAAGAAAACGGTGAAACCCAAAAAAGCCCCCGATCATGGATTTGGAAAGTGGCATGTGAGATGTACTCTCTAGCCTTTATTTGAGACTAAGGGCCCGTTTGGTAACGTGCCAAACAGTAAAAATTTCTGTTCTTTTGTTCCCAGAAATAGTTTGGAAACAGAAATGCGTTTGGTAAACTTTTTGTTCCCGGGCACATTTTTGCAAAAAATTGTGCCCAGAAACAGTTTTGGAAGAAAAACAAGAAGTAAAAAAAAGTTGCTTCTTGTTTCTCGGCACAATTTTGAGAATCAGTTTTTTTCTTCTTTTTCTTTTTTTTGTTTTCTTCTTTTTGTGTTGCTCTTCTTGGGCTGTGGCCTGTCGCCGGCCGCCGGCGACCGGCCACGGCCCAGGCCGGCGAGGGCGTCACGGCCCTCGCCGGCGGAGGCGAGGGTCCCCCTTGCCGGCGAGGGCGGCCGCCGTCGGTCATGGCGAGGTCGGCCTCGCCCGATCGGCGAGGTCGAGCCTCACCTTGGGTTTCAACGACGAGGCTCGGCCTCGCCGGATCAGGCGAGGCCGACCTCGCCGTCGCGACACGGCGAGGTCGGCCTCGTCCGAGATCGGCGAGACCGGCCGACGAGGCGGCTAGGGCGGCGGCGAGGGCCGCGACGCCCTGGCCTGTGGCCGGTGCCGGCGCCGGCGCCGGCGACCGGCCATGGCCAAAGAAGGAAGGATAGAAAGAAAAAAAAAAAAAAAAAAATTAAACAATTTAAAATATTATTAAAATATTATTAATAAAAAGAAATTTTGTGTAGTTACTAAACGTATTTACGTTCTTTTCTATCCGGGAATAGAAATTTTGGACAGTTACCAAATGCCTTCAAATGCTTAGAAATTGTTTCCGGGTACAAAATAAAAAAGAACCATTTCTGAGTGGAAATAGTTCCCCGGCATAGAAACATTATCATGCGCACCCTAAGTGGCCGCTTCATGCTCTTAGTCGAGACTAGGTTCACTTGGAACATTTTTTGAAAAAAATGATCTCTTTCCAAATCCATGTTTGAAATTTCCCCCAACTTGAGGGGATAAGATCACGTCGACTCTACAAAATTAGGATTGATCTGTCACATTCCCTCTTTCCCTTTTTGAAGCCACTAATTTTGGTGATGAGTATCAAATATTATTAATTTCCATCCATAATCACATTCATGGTTCATAACTGCATGATGATCTTGCTGAAAATCAACAGAGGGAAACCCGAAACCCTTTTGCATTATCCACACATTCCATAATGGTGGTGTTGACAGGTAATGAAGGATGCTTCCCTTTTTTTACGTCAAGAATTTCTTCCATAAAAGGGCGAAAGCAGAGTTTTAAAAAAAGGGATGAGCAGACCAAGACGCTTCATTTGCAGTTCTCGTCTGAAGACACACGAATTTATAATATATTCGAGTTTTGTTTTAAGTTGCTGAAGGAACAGAGAGCAATGGGGCTCTCCTCTCGTTCCCATTTTCTCCTCTCGGTCTTGCTTTTGTGTCTGGTGCATTCACCCACCTTTGCCTTGAAAAAGGTGATGCTCGCTTTTTGCCTTGTTTTATGCAAAAATAAGATCACTAGTTCTTTTCACAGTATGATTTATTTTTCTCATCTTTTATCTAAGTTCTTTCCCCAAAATCTTAGGATAAGAATTGAGTACTCAAACTTTAAAAAGCTACTAAGTTGAAAATTTTGTCAAATCAGTACAATCGAGTATTTTCATTAATTCCGTCTAACTTGGCTATCAAAAAATGTTGATAGGACTTTTTTTTGAAATTTCACTCGTTTTAGTCCAAATCTGATTTTCTAATCTATATTTAATTCAAACTAAATTGAAAAAAAGCTAATTTAAATAAAAGGGAAAACCAGGTGAGCTTGCACCTGCTAGACCTCGGTCAGTGGCTAGCCTAAATCTAGTAAGCCGAGGGCATCACTCACCAAATTTGGCTAGCCATCTCCAAGATCTGGGCGAGGGTTCGAGGCCATCACCGGAACTTTCCAGTGATGGTGGGGCAGCGGCGTCAAAGCCTGGTTTTCCCTCTTTTTAAATTTTTCTTATTTTTTTTATTCTCATTTATACAAATTTTGAGTTAGAAAAATAATTTTTGGATCCAAACAACTTGTTTCACCATATGCTTTATGTTTGAGCCAAGTCAGCACAATATAAGAGAGAGAGCTTTATGTTTTAGCCAAGTCAGCACAATATAAGAGAGAGAGAATAATAATGAAACATCGAGTCAATATTTCCGTTAGCCAACTTAAATCAATATGTTAAGAGACTAATTGCACAGTTGATTACACAATTTTGACAAATTTTAGGACATATTGTACTTTTTGAAAGTGTTTTATGCTTCAGTCTCCAAAATGTTTTTTTATGGCGCTTCCTTTGATTTCTATATATGTTGTCTATCACTCTGCTTCTCAGCTCGATCATTTCTGGGCGTTTGCTTTTCAATGGCCTCATTTTTTTCTCCTTTCTTTCTGCTTTAGCCTTACATCGTGTACTTAGGTTCTCATGCACACGGTCCAGAACTGACCGCAACAGATATTGAAAGTGTCACCAATTCTCATTATAATTTACTCGGATCGTACTTGGGAAGGTATAGTTCGGATTTATACTTCATAAGCATGAAAATCCTAGTATTTCTTCATTCCAAGTAAAATGTAATTTCTTTGTTCTGTCCTTCAACTTATTTCGACAGCAACGAGAAGGCTCAGGAGGCAATTTTCTATTCATACACTCATCACATCAATGGTTTCGCTGCAATTCTCGAAGAGGATGAAGCGGCAGAAATTGCCAGTGAGAGTTTGGCTATATTATTATGTGAATTTAATTTACGTGTTTGATGAATTGGTCTGCGAAGACAAGAGTGCTGCTCTGTTTTCCTCTTTTCCATCTGCAAAATTCACCACTTTTCTTTTGATGCAGAGCACGCAAATGTCTTATCTGTGTTTCTAAGCAAAGGAAGGAAATTGCACACAACAAGGTCATGGGATTTCTTGGGGCTAGGGAGAAACGGGGTGATTCTAAAGAGTTCCATCTTGTGGAAGGCTAGGTTTGGGGAAGACACGATTATTGGCAACCTCGACACAGGTATCTTTCATTATTTTTGGGATTGCGGACTTCTTTTCTTAATTTAACTATGGAATTATTTTTTATTTTGTTTTCTTTTTGCTCAAATTGGTTTAATTACATTTATCATCATATCTCCGTTGACCCCTGAATTTGCTTTAGTTGAATGAGTTTTTGGAACCTGATTTGATGGCTGCACGTTTTCAAGAAATTTTCAGTTTTCTGATCAGCTTTTTCTGCATACGATAAACAAAAGTGAGACCATAAACCTTTTTGCTCATATCAGAAAAATTATAAGCTGCCAAATCAAGAAAATCCCTTTATCGATATCTTCCAGAGAGTCTCATGAATTTGGGAAATTGGTGTTTTAGTTACGGGAGAAACAATGATCGAGAAGTCTCCCAGGGATAAACTTTCACTGTCGTTTACTGACAAAGTATGGAAGGATTCATATTGTGTTCGTGCTTTGCAACTTTCCTTGGTTGTATCCACTAACTCAAAACGACTGACTCATTGCTCTCAAAAATGGGTTCATAACTTTTTCATGGAAAAGCTTCAGCGAATGGTGGTAGGGTCTCAGCAAATGAATAGTGACTACTCACAAATTGATTTTGCTTCCTTTGTGCATAATACATGCATCACACTGTGACTTTGTCAATTGTTTTCCTTTTTTTACATTTTGCAGGAGATGCTTATGGTTTCTCTTTTCTTTGTTTCTACAGGTGTTTGGCCGGAATCAAAGAGCTTTAATGATGAAGGGATGGGTCCTATTCCGGGAAAGTGGCGAGGAATCTGTCAACGGGGCATAAAAGATAAATTTTCTTGCAACAGGTTTTAGTCCTCCTAAATAATTTCTTTATCTTCTTTGCCTCACTGAGTTTAATTCCGAGTGTTTCCACGGGTTAATGAATTTTTTTGTTTAGGTTGACTTGTTTGTCATGTGTTTTTCAGAAGATCTTTTTACACTTCCACTCTTAGTTTTCATAGCAAAGAGGAGAAAAGTGCATTTCTGCTGGTTTAATGAAAAGTAGCGTTCATATAACTACAATAATTGCTTATATGGGCACTGGTTCACAAGAAAGATGGTGTGATCCTTACTTGGATACCAATTTGAAAGTTAATTTAGATCAGAACATTGTTAGTTGTGGCCAATAACAGTGACTATATAACAGAAACTTTCAAAGGGAAGGTTCCAAAGCGTACACAGGAAGCTGTTCATCCGAAGTCGTCGCTTGCATCACTTTCAAGGGAATAGTTGACTTTTTTTAGTAGCAGAGCCACAAAAGCTTGAATATGTTAGAAACGACGTGCCTTTGCAATTATTATAGAAAATTTTTTGTCTTCTCAGCCATATCATGTTGCAAAAGCACACAAACCTATGTTTTTTTTAACTGTATTAATTGAAGTGTTAGCCCTTGATGCTCAGCTATTTTATGTCCATTTATAACATGCAATGACCTGCCCACCTGGGCCTTTTGCCTAGTTGATTATTGTTTAGCAAGCTATGACGTTAACTTTTTGCATCTTCAAGACGAACGAGGCTTGCTTCATCAGAAGCTCGTACATGTTTCCTGTTCGCTCTTCCATTTATGTTGTTCACATGGCTAATATTGCTTGTTGAAGCAAGCTCATGATTCTGTGTCGTTCTTTATAATGTGATCATTACTACCCTTATCTTCTGCAACATTGTCTAATCTGCTGAAGTTTACTCTCTTTGAAGAGTTTTACAACCCTGCAAGAGATTAACTCTCTCCTTTTGCGGGTTTTGTCATGGAAAGGTCATGTTTCTCTTTAAAAATTAGAGTTTCTAATTTTTCTTATTTTTAGGGCTTTCGCTTACGGCCCTTGGAATTCTTTGTTTTCTATATGCGCAGGACACGACATTTGATTTCCCCATATTAGACTTTAAAAGATAAAAATTTAAATAAATGATCCATGAACAATTGTTTCACGTGACATTCACCACTTGGTGAATCCAATCTCTCATTTCTCTGTACTAAGGAAGCTGATCGGAGCGAGGTACTTCAACAAAGGCTATGCTGCATATGCTGGACACCTTAACTACACATTCTACACGGCACGGGATAATGAGGGTCACGGGTCCCACACTCTGTCTACAGCGGGAGGAAGCTTTGTCCCTGGAGCGAGTGTTTTTGGGAATGGCAATGGAACTGCTAAGGGAGGATCTCCTAGGGCCCGTGTTGTGGCATACAGAGTGTGCTGGCCTCCAATTGATCAAAATGAGTGCTTTGATGCAGACATCTTGGCAGGCTTTGATGCTGCGATAAGCGATGGCGTCGATGTTCTATCTGTGTCTCTAGGCGGGGATCCAGCAGAGTTTTTCATGGACGGAATTGCTATTGGATCCTTCCATGCAGCTAGGAATGGGGTTGTGGTTGTTTCTTCTGCTGGCAACTCTGGGCCCCAACCGGGGACCGTGTCTAATGTTGCTCCATGGATGATCACCGTTGCTGCAAGCACAATTGACCGGGAATTCACGACCTACATTGCTCTTGGAGACAAGCAGCACCTAAAGGTATTAGACTACTCTTATACAGATGAGCTTACAATTCGTCCTACTTTGGTATCTGAATCTATGTGCAGCGTAATGACTAAACTGGTTAAGTCATTCTTGCTGCACTGAAAGAACTTTATGTTGCTCTCATGGATTTGCTTTCTAAAATTTTCAGTTTGTCGGTCCTTGTAGTTCAAGTAGTTATGCTTTTTCTTGATACTGTACTGTATTTATGAATTTCATGAAAGGGGTTGAGCCTTTCGGCCAAAGGGTTGCCATCCAATAAATTCTATCCACTAATCAGTGGTGCAGATGCGAAGGCTGCAGATGTCTCGGCCGCAGAAGGGTTAGTATATTCTGCTGATATTTTTCAAAATGTCCTATACTTCTCAAGTCATCCACTTCTGCATAGTACATTTCACTTTCATAAGCTATGACAGGAATTCTGAGTATTGCTTAAATCGTTGCAGTTTGCTCTGCAAAGCTGGAACCCTTGACCCCAAGAAGGTGAAGGGGAAGATCTTGGCATGCCTTCGCGGTGATAACGCAAGAATCGACAAGGGCCACCAAGCTGCCCTTGCTGGTGCTGTTGGGATGGTTTTGGCTAATGATGAAGAGAATGGAAATGATATTGTTGCTGATGCTCATGTTCTTCCCGCTGCTCACATTTCTTTCGCAGATGGGAAGGTTCTCTTCACGTACATCAACTCCACAAAGTAAATTTTCTAAGCAGTTCCTTCTTTTTTTCCGCCTGCTCGCAGCCATCTTTCCGGGTTCATCCCACTTTTCTTGAGGATTCTCAAGTTCTTATATATGCTTTTACTTCTCCATGCGCACGCGTGCACACATCTGTCTCATTTAGGTTTCCTATGGCTTACATCACTCATGTGAAGACAACGTTGAACACGACACCTGCTCCTTTTATGGCTTCCTTCTCATCCAGGGGACCGAACATCGTAGAGCCAGCAATCCTGAAGGTATATTAGTGGGATTCGTTTATTCGGCTTTTATGGCATCTATGCTCTTTTTGGTTAATCAACTACCTTTTTTAACTGTAAGTCCATTCCAAAAGATCTAATTGTCGTTGATGTACTTCAGCCCGATATTACTGCACCCGGAGTGAAGATCATTGCTGCTTATACACTGGCAGTTAGTCCAACAGGTCTAGATTTCGACACGCGTAGAACGCCTTTCTATGTATTGTCCGGCACCTCAATGTCCTGTCCTCATGTGTCCGGCATCGTTGGTCTCCTCAAAACCCTCTATCCCAGTTGGAGTCCTGCCGCGATACGATCCGCAATCATGACAACCGGTAATCTATCTTCAAGGGTTGTCTCTTTTAGTTCTTTTTCAATTGTGTTAACGGCAAGCAGATTCTACTTCTTTGTTGCGTCTTTGATTTTGACTTTAACCATTTCACAGCAAGAACACGAGACAACAAGGTGGAGCCGATGCTCGATTCATCTTTTGTTAAGGCAACTCCATTTTCGTATGGTGCTGGCCACATCCGGCCAAACCGTGCGATGGACCCTGGTCTCGTGTATGACTTGACGGCAAACGACTACTTGGACTTCCTATGCGCCCGAGGTTACAATGAATCCCAACTGAGATTATTCACCAATGAGACCCACACATGCCCTAAACATTTTAATGCGGTGGATATGAACTATCCTTCTATCACTGTCCCGAATCTCAACAGCACCGTGGTGGTCACAAGAAGGGTGAGGAATGTGGGCACTCCTAGCACGTATTATGCACGCGTTAAGGCACCAGCTGGATTGTCAGTCTCCGTCCAACCGCAGAGCCTGGTGTTCGAAAGGTTTGATGAAGAGAAGGAATTCAAGGTGGTGTTGAAACCTAATGTTGCTGGCAAGCCCTTTGATTATGTGTTTGGACGGTTGATCTGGTCTGATGGGGTGCACTATGTGAGGAGTCCTCTGGTTGTGAAGCACCAGTGAACATGACAACTACAATGAAGATTGGGGTTTGGCAAGCTAAATAGGCTCTGATGGTGGCTTGCGGTAGCCTTCACTTTTATCTTTGGGGTATAGGGATTCCTCAGGGACAACGTTTTTTGTTTCCCTTTCTATCAAGTGGGAACAATTTATTTCGTTTAATTGGGGGAGAAAAATGGATTGTTTTATGCATTGACAAGTTTACTGGCTAATAAAAAGGAAGTATAGATCCTGTTCGAAAAAATAGTGGAGCCGTCCTCAATCTATCTTATGCTCTGTTTTGTTGCATTATTTCTGCCCTTGAAGTCCAACCCAAACACAATTAATAAATACTACTGGGTGTCATAATTTTACGCATGAATTTCGAGTTCGCAAACTATCCTCTTGCGGTCCCCTAGTCTGTACGATCAAAATAATGCCAACATAAGTAAGCAAAGATATTGATGGAAATGTGTGCACAGAACTTGACTGCATTGCTTGTCCCTAGAACATATTTCTCCAACATGGTTCAATCAAAATGTCAACCCAACAGACAAGTGTTTCTGTCAATATCCATTGCCGTCAGATCCAATATTTGCTCGAAGATGCCAATGCCAAGAAAAAAGCACAAAGAGTGGATTGCTGCAACTAGTTCCTAAAAATAAGATCTCTAGTGGGATAGATGATAAGAAGGGTTTCATCAATCGACTTTTATCTCTCAGGAGCTAATCCACAAGCCAAGGATGTTGTCGGCATCTGAAGTTCTATAAGATGAAAACGTTAAAGTGACTGAATCGCTGTCCAATTTGACCTTTTTTTTTTTTTTTGTCTTGAGTTCTATTTGACATTAACGTCCAGAAAAATCATCAGTAAGCACAATCTAGTTCGTAAATTCATAAAAGAAAGGGGTTTACAGGAGGAACTATGAATACTCTGTTGCCGAACCAACTCGATCTAGATTAGACACATCAATCGGGACAAACATGTGACGCATTGGATTTAACTCACTCAAGATATTGCCCTCTTTGGTTCATTCCATTCCAAGCCCCTCACCATTTTGTTCTTTTGCGTACAAGCAGGCACTTTCCTAGGAGGTTAATCATCTTGGTAGATATCTAATCTTGTTAAGTTAAAAGGTGCCTCCGTGAATTAATTACAGTTTTCACATATATAACCCAAGTACAATTTTCCCTGCTTTGTGTGCAATTCGGTTTATTCATGCCCCTTTCGCCATCCTAGAAGGTTGTCAACTGGCCACTCCATGCTTTTGTCGGACCAAGTCAATACAGGCCTATTAAACTACACAACTATTGAAGGGGGTCCAGCCCTTACACCAAACTGTGACATTCGTGGATTAACTCACTTGAGGTATTGTCTACTTTGACGCATCCCAATCTAAGCCTCACAATTTTGTCCTTTGGCGTACAATGAGGCACTTTCCCAAGGGGTCACCCATCCTAGTATCACTCTAGCCCGAGTACGCTTAGCTTTGAAGTTTTAAAGCAAAACTTGTCGTTATTTCAAAAGGAGGCTCCGTGAGTTAATTCCAGTTTTTACATATATATATCTCGGGACGCTTTCCACCTATTTGGTGTGCAATTCATTTCATTCCTACCATTTTTGCCATCCTAGAAGCCTATAAGGAGTCGTTCCTTGTCTAAGCCCTCTGGTCCCTGCCCTCGTTGGACGGGGTCATTACAGGCCACCAGCTTGTGTGTCGTTCTTCCCCAAATCACACACCTACTACAGGGGATCCCGCACTAATACCATATTATAACGTCCTAAATTAACTCACTTGAGATATTGTTTGCTTTGACCCGTCCCATACCGAGCCTCACAATTAGAGCACTACCAAGATGGGTGACCTCCAGGGAAAGTGCCTAGGACAAATCCGAGAGGCACGTTACAGGACGGGCCAAAGCGGATAATACCTTAATTGAGTTAATTCAATGGCGTCACAATATGGTATCAGAGCGGGACCCTCTTCGGTAGGCATGTGATTCGGGAATGAACCACGTGGAAGCTAGTGGGCCTGTAACGACCCGGTTCGACAAGGGCGGAGGCCAGATGGCTCGGACAAGAAGCAGCGTCTAGCGAGTTTCTAGGATGGCGAATGAGGCAGGTGTGAACTGAATTATACGCCAAATAAGGGAAAGCGTGTCTGCGATATGTGTTTGTGTGTGTAAAAGTTGGAATTAACTCGTAAAGGCGCGTTTTGACGTAACGGCAAGCTTTGTTTTGGAACTCCGAAGTTAAGCGTGCTCAAGCTAAAGTACTACTAGTATGGGTGACCTTCTTGGAAAGTGCCTACATGTATGCCAAAGGACAAAACGACAAGATTCGGTATGGGATAGGCCGAAGGGAACAATATCTCCGGTGAGTTAATCTAGGGACGTCACAAAACATTTGCCAAACATTTCTAACTTCGAATTTACAATTGTCAACCAACTATTATTGTATATCCATGGCTCATGGTCATCAATAAGTATAGCCATCGACAAGAACTCTAGTGACTCGTCCATGGCCACACCTCAACTGATCCCAAGCCAATGTACTTGTTTGAATCGATATCATGTTGACTATAATGACTTAGTCAATTTTTTGTGTAAACGCATGCCTTGACAAGAGTATCCTGAATCAGTTGTGCGTGTTATCGGCCATCGCCATGCTTGAGAGCTTGGAGATTTGGGTAGGGCATGATAACCATTCTGGTTCTGTCCAGAACTGGTTTTCTGTTCCCAGAAATAGCTTTGGACTCGAAATCCATTTGGTAACGCAATTCCATTTTTCTATTTTTGGAACAACTTTTTGTTCCAGAACCGATTCTGAATCAGAAATCAGAACAAAAAAAAAGTAATTTTTCTATTTCTAGACCAAAAATAAGAATCATTTCTGAGAGAACTCTTCTTTTAAAACACATGTTCATCTGGAAGCCACGATCTTTGAGGTGGGAAAAAAAAGTAAAAAATCAAAAATTTCAAAACTTCACAGAATGGTTTAGAATCTGTGGCTACCGACTTTGAGCGAAATTTAAATTTTTTTAGGTGCCGAAAAAATAAAAATAAAAATAAAATCAAAATTTTCAAAATTTCACAAAATGGTTTAGAATACCTATGGCCACCCACTTTGAGCGAAATTTAATTTTTTTTAGATGTCAAAAAAAATAAAAAATAATCAAAAAATCTAAAATTTAAAAACTTCATAGAATGTCTTAGAATACCTATAGCTACCCAATTTGAGCGAAATTTAATTTTTTTTAGGTGCCAAAAAAAATTAAAAAAAGCAAAAAATAAAAAATTTCAAAACTTCACAGAATGGCTTAGAATACCTGTGGTCATCCACTTTGAGCGAAATTTAAATTTTTTTAGGTGCCGAAAAAAATAAAAAAATAAAAAATTTCAAAACTTCACAGAATGGCTTAGAATACCTGTGGCCATCCACTTTGAGCGAAACTTAAAATTTTTTAAGTGCAGAAAAAAATAAAAAAATAAATAAATTCAAAACTTCACATAATTGCTTAGAATATCTGTGGCCACCCACTTTGAGTGAAATTTAATTTTTTTTAGGTGCCGAAAAAAAATAAAAATAAGCAAAAAATAAAAGTTTTAAAACTTCACAGAATGGCTTAGAATACCTGTGGCCACCAACTTTGAATGAAATTTTACTTTTTTTAGGTACCAAAGAAAAGAAAAAAAAGCAAAAAATCGAAAATTTCAAAAGTTCACAGAATGACTTAGAATACATGTGGTCATCCACTTTGAGTGAAATTTAATATTTTTAGGTGCCGAAAAAAATTAAAAAATCAAAAATACCATTTGGGCACCTAAAAAAAATTAAATTTCACTCAAAGTGGGTGGCTAGAGGCATTCTAAGTCATTCTGTGAAGTTTTAAAATTTTTATTTTTTTATGTTTTTATTTTTTTTCGGCACCTAAAAAAATTTAAATTTCACTCAAAGTGGGTGGCCACAGATATTCTAAGTCATTCTGTGAAGTTTTGAAATTTTTTATTTTTTGTTTTTTTTTTCACCTCAAAAAATTAAAATTTCACTCAAAGTGGGTGGCCACAGGTATTCTAAACTATTCTGTGAAGTTTTGAAATTTTTGAGTTTTTGAATTTTTTTGGGCACCTTAAAAAAATTAAATTTCACTCAAAGTGGGTGGCCACATGTATTCTAAACTATTCTGTGAAGTTTTGAATTTTTTGATTTTTTGATTTTTTTTGGGCATCTAAAAATATTTAAATTTCACTAAAAGTGGGTGGCCACAGGTATTTTAAGCCATTCTATGAAGTTTTGAAATTTTTGATTTTTTTTGAAAAAATTCAACAAATTTCCTATTTTCCCGAAATCTGAATTTTTTTATTTTTTGGAAATTGTGATGAATTTTTCAATTTTTTTTGGATTTTTTGAATTTTTTGAGATTTTTAGGAATTTTTTGGATTTTCTAATTATTTTTATTCCATTTCTAAAAAAATGGATTTTTTTTCCTGGAAATAGAATTTTGTGTTGTTTTTCAAACCGGTTTTTATTTCAGGAAATAGAAATTTTGTGCTGTTATCAAAAGGGTTTCTGTTCTAGAAATAGAAATTTTTGGTTGTTATCAAACGGGTTTCTTTTATCAAAAACTCATCCTGAAACCAGAAATAGAAAAATCTATTTCTGTTTCAGGAACTCATTCTGGAACAGAATGGTTATCATTCGCTACCTTGGTGGCCATGGCTGCAAGTGGGAAGAGAGAGAACGGCCACAATGTCGATGCAACGCTTGAAAGAGGAGCTGTCATCAAGGAAGATCGGGCACCGGAAGTAGCTTAGTGCAGGTGCGGCGGAAGGAAGAACGATGAATGAAGAAGATGAAAGATAAAAAAATGAAAACAAAAAAGAAAGAAAGAAAGAAAACAGTGAAACAAAAAAATTCCCCTGATCAAGGATTTGAAAAGTGACATGTGAGATGTACTCTCTAGTGTTTATTTGAGACAAAGTGGCAACTTTATACTATTATTTGAGAAAAGATTTACTTTGAACTGTCTTTTAAAAAAATGATCTCGCTCCAAATCCTTACTTGAAATTTCCTGCAACTTGAGTGGATAAGAGCACGTCAACTTTACAAAATTAGGATAGGTCTTTCACATTCCCTCTTTCCCCTTTTGAAGCTACTAATTTTGGTTTTGAGTATCAAATACTATAAATTTCTTTCCATAATCACATTCTTGGTCCATAACTGCATAATGATCTTGCTGAAAATCAGCAGAGCGAAGCCCGAAAGCCTTTTGCATAATCCTCACATTCCATAATGGTGGTGTTGACAGCTAATGAAGGAAATGTAAGGATAATCTTCCATAAAAAGGCGAAAACAGAGATTAAAAAGGGCAGAGTAGAGCAAGACGCTTCATTTGCAGTTCTCGTCTGAAGACAGAGGAATTCATATTATATTCAAGTTTGTTTTAAGCTGCAGAAGAAACAGAGAGCAATGAGGCTCTCCTCTCATTCCCAGTTTCTCCTCTCAGTCTTGCTTTTGTGTCTGGTGCATTCACCCACCTTTGCCTTGAAAAAGGTAATGCTCGCTTTTTGCCTTGTTTTATGCAAAAATAAGATCTATTCAACTTTTGTTGTTTTCAATCACGAAAGTCTTCCGTTTTGATCGCTAGTTCTTTTCGCAGAATGGTTTATTTTTCTCATCTTTTATCTAAGTTTTTTTCCCAAAATCTTAGAATAGGAATCGATTCCTCAAACTTTTAAAAGCTACTTTAAGTCTAAAAATTTGTCAAGTTGACACGATCAAGTCTTATCATTAATTCCTTCTAACTTGACTATTGAAAAATGCTAATCTGACTTTTCTTTGAAACGCCACTAGTTTTAGTCTAAATTTGATTTTCAAACCTATATTTAATTCAAATTAAATTGAGAAAAAAAATTATTTAAATAAAAGTGAAAAGCAGGTGAGTTTGAAGTGGTCAGTGGCCGGCGACACTTACCAGATTTGGCTAGCCAGCGCCAAGATCTGGGCGAGGGTTGCTAGCCATCGCCGGATTCCGGCAATGGTGGGGCAACGGCATCAAGGCCTGGTTTTCCCCTCTTGTTAAATTTTTCTTATTTTTTTAATCTCATTTAAATAAATTTTGAGTTAAAAATTATATTTGGATCCAAACAACTCGTTTCAGCCATATGCTTTATGTTTAGCCAAGTCAGCACAATGTAAGAGAGAGAAATTAATGATAATAAAGTCTGTGTCAACATTTTTGTTAGCTTAAAATGGAGTTTTATCAGGATTTGATTGCACCTTTTGAAAGTCTTTATAAGTTTTAATACCTTCAGTCTGCAAAATCTTTTTTTTATGGCGCTTCCTTTGATTTCTATCAATGTTGTCTATCTTTCTGGTCGTTTGCTTTTCAATGGCCTCATTTTTTCTCCTTTCTTTCTGCTTTAGCCTTACATCGTGTACTTAGGATCTCATGCACACGGTCCAGAACCGACTGCAGCAGATATTGATAGTGTTACCAATTCTCATTATGATTTACTCGGATCGTACTTGGGAAGGTATAGTTCGAATTTATACTCGCAAGCATGAAACTCGAAGTTTTTCTTCATTCCAAGAAAATGTGATTTTTTTGTTCTGTCATTCAACTTATTTCGACAGCAATGAGAAGGCTCAGGAGGCAATTTTCTATTCATACACTCATCACATCAATGGTTTCGCTGCGATTCTCGAAGAGGATGAAGCTGCAGAAATTGCCAGTGAGAGTTTGGCTATATTATTATGTGATCAATGATTTGGTCTGCGAAGCCAAGAGAATGCTGCTCTGTTTTCCTGTTTTCCATCTACAAAATTCATGGCTTTATCTTTTGATGCAGAGCACCCAAATGTCTTATCAGTTTTTCTAAGCAAAGGAAGGAAATTGCACACAACAAGGTCATGGGATTTCTTGAGGCTAGAGAGAAATGGAGTGATTCATAAGAGTTCCATCTTGAGGAAGGCTAGGTTTGGGGAAGATACAATTATCGGCAACCTCGACACAGGTTTCTTTCGTTATCATTGGGATTGTGAAGTTTTTTTTTTTAATTCAACTGTGGAATTATTTTTCGTTTCTTTTATTTTGGCTCAAATTGGTTTAACTACATTTATCATCATATCTCCGTTGACCCCTAAATTCTCTTTAGTTGCATGAGTTTTTTTAACCTGATATAATGGCTGCACGTTTTCAAGAAAATTTTAGTTTTTGCATGAAGTTGAGCACAACAATTCTGCCACGTCGAGCATTACCGTACTGCCTGACCAAAAAAAAAAAACATTACGGTACTGACTATTTCTAGATCAGCGTCTTCTGCACGCGGGGAAAGAAAAGTGAGACCTTAAAACTTTTTTGCTCATATCGGAAAAATCATAAGATGCCAAATCAAGAAAAATGTCCCTTTGTCATTATCTTCCTAAGAGTTTCATGAGTTTGGGAAATTGGTGTTTTAGTTATTCATAAGAATTAAAAAAAAAAAAATAGAGAGAAACAATGATTGAGGATTCTCCCAGGAATAAACTTTCTACGTCATTTTCGGACAGAGTGTGGAAAGGTTCATCTTGTATTCGTGCTTTGCAACTTTTCTTGGCTTTTTTCACTAACTCAAAACGACTGATCTCAGTGTTCTTACAAAAGGGTTCGTGACTTTTTCATGGAAATGCTTCAGGGAATGGTGGTAGGGTCTCAAAAATTGAATCTTGACTATTCACAAAATGATTTTGCTTCCTTTGTGCATAATACATGTATCCCACTGTGAATTTGTCAAATGATTTCTTTTTTGACATTTTGCAGGAGATACTTATGGTTTCTCTTGTCTTTTTTGCTATAGGTGTTTGGCCAGAATCGAAGAGCTTTAACGATGACGGGATGGGTCCTATTCCGGGAAAATGGCGAGGAATCTGTCAGCGGGGCATAAAAGATGGATTTTCTTGTAACAGGTTTTAGTCCTCCTAAATAATTTCCTTTTCTTCTTTGGCTCGCTGAGTTTATTTCCAAGTGTTTCCACGGGTTAATGAATTTTTTTGTTTAGGTTGAATTGTTTGTCATGTGCTTTTTAGTATATTTTTTTACACTTACACTTTTGGTTTTTACATCAAAAAGGAGAAAAGTGTATTTCTGCTGGTTCAACGAAAAGTAGTGTTCATATAACTACACCAATAATTATCCAAAATGTCGTAAACCTTATTGGAGAGTCGTATGGAGGCATTATACCAGGGCAATGCTAGCGACTTCCGTAACTTCTTAAGCAGCTGCTTAAAGATTAAATAGAAAAAAAAGAACTAAAATCATCAGCAACTACATCGAGTGCTAAAAGCTTCGGTTTGCCGCAGAGAAGCAATAAGTTTGGATGGACGATCCCGATCCGTCCGACAATCCATCCGCTGTTTATTGTTTAGCAAGCTATGACATCGACTTTTTGCATCTTAAAGACGAACAAGGCTTGCTTCATCGGGAGCTCTTACTCGTTTCTTGTTCCCTCTGCTTTGATGTTGTTCACATGGCTAATATTGCTTGTTGAAGCAAGCTCATGATTCTGTGTCGTCGTTATGATGTGACCATTACTACCCTCATCTTCTGCGACATTGTTAAATCTGCCAAAGTTTACTCTCTGTGAAGAGTTTTACGACCTTGCAAGAGATTTAACTCTCTCCTTTTGCGGGTTTTGTCATGGAAAGGTCATGTTTCTCTTGAAACGTTAGAGTTTCTAATTTTTTATTATATTTAGGGCTTTCGCTTACAGCCCTCGGAATTCTTTGTTTTCTATGTGCGCATGTCACGATATTTGATTTCCCCATATTAGACTTTAAAAGATAAAAATTTAAATAAATGAACCATGAACAATTGTTTCACGTGACATTCACCACTTGGTGAATCCAATCTCTCATTTCTCTGTGCTAAGGAAGCTGATCGGAGCGAGGTACTTCAACAAAGGCTATGCTGCATATGCCGGACACCTTAACTACACATTCTACACGGCACGGGATAATGAGGGTCACGGGTCCCACACTCTGTCTACAGCGGGAGGAAGCTTTGTCCCTGGAGCGAGTGTTTTTGGGATGGGCAATGGAACTGCTAAGGGAGGATCTCCTAGGGCCCGTGTTGTGGCATACAAAGTGTGCTGGCCTCCGATCGATCAAAATGAGTGCTTTGACGCGGACATCTTGGCAGGCTTTGATGCTGCGATAAGCGATGGCGTCGATGTTCTATCTGTGTCTCTAGGTGGGCATCCAGCAGAGTTTTTCATGGACGGAATTGCCATTGGTTCCTTCCATGCAGCTAGGAACGGGGTTGTGGTTGTTTCTTCTGCCGGCAACTCTGGGCCCGAACCAGGGACCGTGTCTAATGTTGCTCCATGGATGCTCACCGTTGCTGCAAGCACGATTGACCGGGAATTCACGACCTACGTTGCTCTTGGAGACAAGCAGCACCTAAAGGTATTAGACTACTCTTATACACAGATGAGCTTACAATTCGTCCTACTTTGGTCTCTGAATCTACGTGCAGTGTAATGACTAAACTTGTTAAGTCGATCTTGCTGCCCTGAAAGAACTTTCTTCAGTTCTCGTGGATTTGCTTTCAAAATTTCATTTTCTGTTCAATTTCGTTTCGTAGGTCCTTGTAGTTCAAATAGTTATGCTTTTTCTTGATACTAATGTGTACTGTCTTTATGAATTTATGAAAGGGGTCGAGCCTTTCGGCCAATGGGTTGCCATCCAACAAATTCTATCCACTAATCAGTGGTGCAGATGCGAAGGCTGCAGATGTGTCGGCTGCAGAAGCGTGAGTTTAATCTGCTGATGTTTTTCAAAATTGTCCTCTACTTCTCAGTCATATCCACTTTTGTATAGTACATTTCACTTTCTTAAACCATTACAGGAATTGAGTATTGCTTGAATTGTTGCAGTTTGCTCTGCAAGCCTGGAACCCTCGACCCCAAGAAGGTGAGGGGGAATATCTTGGCATGCCTTCGCGGTGATACCGAAAGAGTCGACAAGGGCCACCAAGCTGAGCTTGCAGGTGCTGTTGGGATGGTTTTGGCTAATGATGAAGCGAATGGAAATGGTATTGTTGCTGATGCTCATGTTCTCCCCGCTGCTCACATTTCTTTCGCGGATGGGAAGGTTCTCTTCACGTACATCAACTCCACAAAGTAAATTTTCTGAGCAGTTCCTTCTTTTTTTTCCACGTGCTCGCAACCATCTTTCCAGGTTCATCCCACTTTTCTTGAGGATTCTCAGGTTCTTATATATGCTTTTACTTCTCCGCGCGCCCGCGTGCACATAACTGTCTCATTTAGGTTTCCTATGGCTTACATCACTCATGTGAAGACAATGTTGAACACGACACCTGCTCCTTTTATGGCTTCTTTCTCATCCAGGGGACCAAACATCGTAGAGCCTGCAATCCTGAAGGTATATTAGTGAGATTCGTTATTAACGTTTTTTATGGCATCTATGCTCTTTCTTGTTAATCAACTACCTTTTTAACTGTTAAGTTCTATGCTGAAAGATCTAATTGTCGTTGATGTACTTCAGCCCGATATTACTGCACCGGGAGTGAACATCATTGCTGCTTATACACTGGCAGTTAGTCCAACAGGTCTAGATTTCGACAAGCGTAAAACGCCTTTCAATGCATTGTCTGGCACCTCAATGTCCTGTCCTCATGTGTCCGGCATCGTTGGTCTCCTCAAAACCCTCTATCCCAGTTGGAGTCCTGCCGCGATACGATCGGCAATCATGACAACTGGTAATCTATCTATAAGTGCTCGCTCTTTTAGTTCTTTTCTATGGTGTTAACAGCAAGCAGATTCTTGCTTCTTTGTTGTGTCTTTGATTGTGACTTTAACCATTACACAGCAAGAACTCGAGACAACAAGGTAGAGCCGGTGCTCGATTCATCTTTTGTCAAGGCTACTCCATTTTCCTATGGTGCTGGACACATCCGGCCAAACCGTGCAATGGACCCTGGTCTCGTGTATGACTTGACAGAAAACAACTACTTGGACTTCCTATGCGCCCGTGGTTACAGTGAATCCCAACTGAGATTATTCGCCAATAGGACATACACATGCCCTAAACATTTTATTACGGCGGATATGAACTACCCTTCTATCACTGTCCCGGATCTCAACAGCACCGTGGTGGTCACAAGAAGAGTGAGGAATGTGGGCACTCCTGGCACTTATTATGCACGCGTTAAGGCACCAGCAGGAGTGTCAGTCTCCGTCCAACCGAGAACCCTGGTGTTCAAAAAGTACGAGGAAGAGCAGGAATTTAAGGTGGTGTTGAAACCTAATGCTGCTGGCAAGCCCGTTGATTATGTTTTTGGACGGTTGATCTGGTCTGATGGGGTGCACTATGTGAGGAGTCCTCTGGTTGTGAAGCATCCGTGAACATGACATGACAACTACAATGAAGATTGGGGTTTAGCAAGCTAAATAGCCTCTGATGATAGCTGGCTCTAGCCTTCACTTTTCTCTTTGGGGTAGAGAAATTTCTCAGAAGCAATGATTTTTGTTTCCTTTTCTATCAAGTGGGAACAAAGTATTTCGTTTAATTGGGGGAGAAAAATGGAATGTGTTTTATGTATTGACAAGTTTTCTGGCAAATAAAAAGGAAGTATAGATCCAGATCACAGAAATGGTGGAGCCATCTTCAATCGATCTTATGCTCTGTTTTGTTGCATTATTCCTGTCCTTGAAGTCAAATCCAAACGCAATCTAGAAATATAACCGGGTGTCATATTTTTACGCATGCAATTCGAGTTCGCAAACTATCCTCTTGTGGTCCGCAAGTCCGTACTAACAAAATAATGCAACATAAATAAGCAAGTATATTAGTGGAAATGGGTTCTCAGAACACGATCTGCATTCCTCTTCTCTGTTTCATATTTCTCCAACATGGTTCAATCAAATGTTAATCCATCAGACAAGTGTATCTGTCATTAACCATTGCGTCAGATCCAATATTTGCTAGAAGATACTAATGCAAAATATATATATACAGAGACTAGCTTTCTGAAAGTACACCCTAAAAAGAGAAGATCCCAGTAGGGCAGATGATCAGAAGGAGTTCATCAATCGACTTTCCATCTCTCGAGAGCTAATCCACAAGTCAAAGATGTTGTCAGCATTTGAAGTATCATCAAAGGTGAAAACTTTAAAGTGACTAAATGCTATTCTGTTCGACCTTTTTTTTACTAGTATGAGTCCTATTTGACATTAACATCGTGCAAAATGATCAATTAGCTCAATCCAGTGCGTAAATCTATAAAAGAAAGAGGTATACAGGAGGAACTATATATCCTCAATTGCAGAACCAACTCGATCAGGATCAGACACATCAATCTGGACAAATATATGCCAAAAATTTCTGACTTTGAGTGTGTTGGGAAAATATCAACGTGAATCAAGAAAAATAATGAAGTCAGACTTTGAGACGTAATATCACAATCTTTAAGGAATTATTTGCCCCACAACGTTATTAATGGTTACTAGCAAAAATCCTCAAGAATACAACAAAGTCTTGAATGAGAATACCATATAGCAATTCTGGTATTTCTCCAAAATCTCTCAAGGGAAACAATTGGAATAGATGGCTGTATATCTTTCGAAAGAGAACGAAAATGGAAGTTCTTGATAATGAACAAAAACGTTGAAATATTTATACGTTAAACAAACACAACCTTTCAAATGTGAAGAAGTTATGTCCAAACAGACACAACCTTCCAAAAGTTGCAAGAGCGTCTAATAACCATTAGGGAAAAATTAAAAATTCGAAATTATTTAATAATAAAAATAACCATAACTCATTTGTGAACAGTCACACTATTTTAATAGGACACAATGGTTATTATTATTAATTTTTATAATTTCGAATTTTGATAAATAAAAAATAATAATCATTGATTAGTGACAAATCTCGTCAATGTGCGCACTCACATCCTTTCGACGTGAAACAAAGCACCTCGTTGTTTGTTTTACAAACAAACTACCAATAGAGTGTACAATGAACGTAATAATTAAATCACATATAAGATAAGCTTGCCCAGCAAATGAAGGGGGTGGAGGAGAAGGAGGAATAACCGGAAAATAGAAAAAGAAAAGAGAAATTGCTCCCTTTATATTCGCAGAGAAAGAATAACATCAGAAAATGAAAACTATAAAAGAAAAACCAGACCAAAAAAAAAACAAGTATTCTTTTTTTTTTTCTGATAATTTGTATCTTCTCAACTAGCCCATCCCAGTAGTTTCAGAGAATCCATGCTCCATCTCCATTTCCTCTCTGTCTCTGGTCCTCCCGGTCTCATTTTGAGATCTTTGGTTTCATTCCTAACTAATGTATAGAGAGAGAGATTCATCAACACCTAACTAATAAGATTTCCATCTAGACCTTTTGGTGGTTAGATGAACCAATTAGCATTACTGCATTTGGTTGGGCTTTTTGAGAATGGAAAATGCAAAAACTATAGGTTAAAAGAGATTTTTCAAAATGCAAATATTGTTTTGTAAAGTGTAATTTTAAAGTTTATTGGGTTGTCAATTTAAATGATGTTTGGAAAAATCACACTTGTAAAGGACTTTTGGTTTTTTAATTAAAAAAACCGAATCACCGGCTCTGGCAGAAAGCCCAGACCACCACTGACCCAAATTTGGTACCGGCAGTCGTCAGGAGTGACCCTCAGCAAGGGTCACTTAAGGTTGTGTGAGATTGGCGATGGGTTCGCCGGAACGTTGCGCGGAGGAAAATAGTGGGGGCATTTCCGCAATTTCGAAAGTTTAGGGAGGGCAAAATTAGAAGAAAAACATAAATTAGCGTTCCGGAAATACTAAAGCCCAAAGCTTCTACGGCCTTACCTTGTGCACTTTAGATGACTTTGAAAATGCAATGGTATCTCTCCAAAACTCTGGGAAAAAAATTGTCAAAGGATGCTTTCAATTTATCCAAGAGCCTTTGCGGTAAAGGCTTTGGCAAAGTGATGTCGAACACAGCCTCACTAAACCCGCTTCAGTTTTCCTTTCTGGAATCGCAGAAGAGTTGAAATTAACCATTCATTCGACTAATTCTCAAACGCGCACAAGTCAGTCGTGCTTTATATGAATCAGATAAGATCACGGGGATGAGGAGACAAAGCCTTGTTGAGCGAGAGACATTATCATTCGAACACAAAAGATCAATCGCGTGCAAATTAAACGTCGGCTACGGAGACAAATCTCTGGAAACATGGGGAAAAGAATTACGACAAGCACCATAGAACAAATTATATTAATCAAAACTAAAATTAACTCTCGGGCGCATATGTGCCACGTTCTATGGTGGTGTTTAGCTATCTTACCTTGGGAACAACCCGTCTCGTTTAGGTTTCCTATGGCTTACATTACTCGCGTGAAGGCAATGTTAAACCCGACACCTGCTCCATTTATGGCTTCCTTCTCATCCCAGGGGACCAAACACCGTTGAGCCAGCAATCCTTAAGGGACATTACTGAGATTTCTGGAGGCGTCTATGTACTTTTTGGTTGATCAACTACTGTTAACTGTTAATGTCCCAAGCCAAAACACCTAATCTTCGTTAGTGTACTTCGGCCCGACATAAGAGCACCAGCATTGGACATCATTGCCGCATATACACCGGCAGTTGGTCCGGTAGGTCAAGATTTCGACTAGCGTCAAACGCCTTTCAATGCAGAGTCGAGCACCTCAGAGTCCTGTCCTCATGTGGCCGGCATCCTGAGTCTCCTGAAAACCCTCTGTCCCAGTTGGAGTCCTGCCGCGATACAATCGGTGATCATGACAACTGGTAATATAGCTTCATATGTTCTTTCTTTTAGTTCTTTTTCTATTATGTTAACAGCAGGCGAATTCTTCTTCTTCGTTGTGTCTTTGAGCGTAACTTTCACCATTACACAGCAAGAACACGAGACAACAAGGTAGAGCCAGTGCTTGATGCATCTTTTGCCAAGGCAACTCCATTTTCCTATGGTCCTGGGCACATCCGGCCAGATCGCACCATGAACCCCGGTCTCGTGTATGACTTGACGGCAAATGACTACTTGGACTTCCTATTCGCCCGAGGCTACAACGAATCCAAACTGAGACTATTCACCGAAGAGACTCACAGATGCCAAACAGCGGATTTGAACTATCCCCTCTATCACTGTCCCAGAACTCAATGTCACCGTGGCGGTCACAAGAAGGGTGAAGAATGTGGGGACTCCTGGCACATATTCCACGTGCGTTAAGACACCAACAGGAGCGTCGGTCTCCATCCAACCACGGAGCCTGGTGTTCGAAAAGTGCAAGGAAGAGAAGGAATTCAAGGTGGTGTTGAAACCTAATGTTGCTGGCAAGCCCGCCGACTATTTGTTTGGAATGTTGATCTGGTCTGATGGGATGCATTATGTGAGGAGTTCTTTGGTGGTGAAGCACCAGTGAACATGACAACTACAGAGAATTGTGGTTTGGCAAGCTAAATAGGGTCTCACGGTAGCTGGCTCTAGCCTTCAATTTTCTCTTTGGGGAATAGGGGTTTCTCATGGACAATGATTTTCTTTCCCTAACAAAAAAAGAAAGAAGAGAACCTCATCGCAGAAATGGTGTAGCCATCTTTAATCTATCTTGTGCCCTTGGAGTCGAGCACAAACACAATCAAGAAATGTAACAGGGTCACGCAATTCAAGTTGTCAAAACTTTCCTTTTGCGGTTTGCAAAAAAGAGTGCTGCAGAAATAACCCAAGAGAAGAATGGAAATGGGTACTCAGAACAATATCTGCAAAAATTGTCCCTGAATCATATTCTCCAACATGATTCAATCCAATATTAACTCAACAGACAAGTGTTTCAGTCAAGATCCATTGCCGTCAGATCCTATATTTGGTAGAACATGCTAATCAGAAGAAGAAAAAAACACAGAGACTAGATTTTTCGCAACTAATTTCTAAAAGCAAAGAAACCCCCAGTAGGGTGGACGATCTGGAGGAGTTCATCCGTCGACTTTTCATTCTCTCGTGAGCTAATCTAAATCCACAGTCAGCATCTGAAGTATTCATCAAGATCTAAACTTTAAGGTGGCCGAATCGCTGTCCTACTTTACCTCAACGTCCTGCAAATCCATCGGTCAGCTCAATCCAGTGCGTAAATCCGTAAAAGAAAGAAAAGAAACACGAGGAACTACGAACCCTCCATTGCAGAACCAGCTCGATGTAGATCAGACACATAAATCAGGACAAATGTATGCAAACCATCTGCTACAGTGAGTATATACAAGGACATAGTTGATAAATCACAAACCAGATATGCTGACCCAGCAAATGAAGAGGGTGGAGGAGAAGGAGGAATAACCGGAAACCAGTGGAATGGGCGGAACAGGGAAGACAAAACCCAAAATAGAAAACAAAAATCATTTTCTTTTTTGGTAATTTGCATCTTCCCAGCTAGCCCATCCCAGTAGCTTCAGACAATCCATTCTCCATCTCCATTTCCCCTTGTCTCCCATCTTCTCGACTCATTTCCAGATCTTTGGTTTCATTCTATTTTATATAACGAGAGAGAGAGAGAGAGAGAGAGACAGAGAGTTTTATCAACACCTACCTAATGTTCTTTGCCGTAGGCATTCGAGGAGATTTCCACCTTGACCCTCTGGTGATTCTTTTTATTTTATTTTTTTTGGTCAGAGACCCTATGGTGATTGGGTGAAGCCAATGCATCGCAAAGTCGCCGTACCCACTTTTAGTTTTTACTTTTCAGAATCACGGGAGTCTCGTGATCAGCCTATCCATCCCACCGACTTTCGAGATGCACAGGTTAGTGGGGTTCATCCGTTTCAGATAAAATTACGTTGATAAGAAGACCGAGAGTTGTTCAGCTAAGAGACATCATCGTTCAAACACAAAACATCAATCCCCGACTACCGAGACAAATCACCGTACATAGGTTCGAAGAACTACACAATCACCATAAAACATATGACATGAATGAAAACTAGATTATGCAATTAACTCTCGAGCACATATGTGCCACATGCTCTGGTGCTGGTTAGATATCATGCCTTGCTGAGCACCATGTCCACATGTTTCACAACCGTTGGATCACTGATATATGAACGGACAAAAGTTCTTGAATATCCAATTTCTTCATTTAAGATTGGGGAAAAGAGTAACAAGGAAAAATAATATTGTATAATAATAAATTCAAAAAGTATGCACTTGGATCCCAAAAAGTTGAGATTGGTGGCTGAAAATGGGGACTGTTGAATCAACGTTCTCAACAAGTTACACATCCTCTTGATCAAATTAAATGATAATCAGCAGCATTCCCATAATAATTGAGAAAAATGTCGGAGGCGAAAAAATAATTATCCATCTTCAGTTCACGTTCAGCCCCCGAAGAGATACGCAGCTGCTTGTTCTTCATTACCATCAAAGAATTTCAGAGCTTGTATCACCGCATCTCTTCCAAACCCGAGCTCCACAAGCTTAGCAACCTTCGCTTCGAAATCAGCTTCCTGCATTAACAAATACACATGCCCCTAACTGGTCATTGATTGCCAAATGTGCATAGTTGAGCTTACGTGATTGGTTTTTATCCTTATCCAGATCAGTAGACCTAACCGTTCCCCAGGGCAGTGTTGACATACTAACATCAGTGAGGTTCATATTAGGATATCAACTATCGTTGCAGAAATACGTCTCGATTGTCACGGCATATCCTACATAACCGCATAGGAGACCACTTTTCCACTGGCAATAAACAAAATGAAAAACCTTCTAGCAATATGTCATTTGAAAATAAAAACAGAGGTATATAGCAAACCCAACCTTGCTTGCATTACTGGGTGTGTTCGCAGCTCCTGTGACAGTTAAAAGAGGACGAGAAAATGATGTAAATCCCACTAGTGATATTTCGTTGAAAACAGAAATCAGCAAAATGGAAATAATTACACAATTTAGACAACAATGGCATCAGTTACAAGGTACATATAGATACATAACCAAATTGGAACTGACCTGAAGAATGACTGCCAGACGGCAAGGTGGTTTTACTCTTATCGGTTGTACCTGTCGCAGCCTGAAATAATACAGATGATATTAACTCCTCTATCAAAAAGAACAGATGAAATAACTCATTTCTAGCCAAACGTTAAATCATGCTTGATATTGAGAGTTTGCATCACCCGAACATGATCCAAACAAATGATCATAAATGATGGGCGACATCATCCAGCCATTATTTTATAATTGAAAGAGACGTACTGGGGCTCCTGAGCTAGATGCTTGCTTGGCATGCCTCTCCTCATCTAGAAAACGCAATGGTATGTCTTTTTCTGTTAAAAGTGAATATTTCAGTTTTTAGTTTTCATCGAGAACCAACCGCAATTCACATCAAATTGAGGAGAAAGAGCTTTCTGATTTAAGAACTTAATATCAAAGGAATTAAGTCAAGGCTAGCAATAGTGCTGGACCTTGTAAAAATGGTACTGAAACTTCCCCTCCGCCAACCCTTAGAACGTTCTCCTTCAAATCAATTATACACTGAAAACAATGGCAACTTATAATTTCATCTCATTGATTACACCACAAAAATCACAACTGAACCCAATATTTAAAAAGGCAAAAAACTGATTAACTGGTTTAATAACGACTAATGTAATTTTCAGAACATCCGAGATAAAACCAAGGTTCATAAGTACAAAATGAAATTAAAAAAATACCTGGTGCTTTCGGAGCATATCTAGACCAAAGAGAAATTCCATGTTTGGAGCATCCAGCACCAAAAAGGAGCATGGATAAAATATATTCCCAATCTACAAGAGGAAAAACACAGTGTAACCACTCAGTGTTCAGCAAAATGTGTCTAAAGTTAGTTGACTCCAAAAATCCTCGCAACCACAAGTCTTTTGGGTGATAGTGTCCTTCCAACAGATAGTAAAAACATATGCTCAATAGAACAAAGTAAAGTCCTTCCCCTTGAGGGCAGGGTTTCGATCTTGCCGTGTGGGGGGTTGGGGAAAACGATGGTCTTGGCCATTCTTAGGATAGCCAAAAAGAGACTACTAAGCATAGAATTTCTTCTGGTGGAAGCAAACAAATTGCCTGGCAATTGTCTGTATACATTTGAAACCAATACTTCCCTCCCTTACCTTGATCGGAGCTACATGTATTCTACCCAATATCTCAGATTGACCAACTCCATGAGCAATGCCTTTGTACCGCTGATCTAAAAGCCTCAACAATCTGAGCAAGAAAAGCAAACGGCACTGTTGACTTTCTCTATGATCTATAGTGCCTTTAACAGCAAACTAACCAAACACAGCCACATCAAATACTGAAGACCAATGATGGAGAAAGTCAGGCACAACATTATAAAGCAAACACAAACAATAAGACATACCCACAACGCTCTGCACAACCTTTTGATATAATAGTAGACTGTGCTCCACTATCAACAAAAGCCTGGAAAAAAGTAGGTATAATTCCATGGTGAGGATTTCGAAATCATTCAGGAAAGAAGGTCTAACAAAATATAATTGCATATGAGTGAGAACATATCAAAATGACAGACCTTAGAAGACGGACAAATTTTTAGTACTTATGCATCCAACAAAGTTTGAATGCAGTACTTAGAGATGTTTTGATAGACAACAGATGATGTAAACCGTCAATAAGAAAGTAAGAATTACATTGTTAAGTTATCTTCATAGCTAATACAAGTCGAAATGGTAGGACAAGTGTATTCTATCATGGACCTTGCCACACTACCTTCAAAGGGACACCATTGACCTCCATGTCAACATACAGCATCACCTGGAAAATATAAATATACACAATTAGGGTGAGAAAGCTAATATAAAATAGACTACTACAATCACACATACCACTCTTGCAAAAGCTTCAGGGTTATATTCCAGAGCAGCAGCCCAATTTTCATCAATCCCTTTCTGGAAAATGAATTGTAAAAACTTGAACCATAAGGAATAAAAAACGCGATAAAGGAAGAAGTCAATTCAGAGAAAGATCTTCCAGAATTAAATATTACTCCACTTCACCTGACGAATGGCAGCTTCAATTTTCTTTTGCGCTTCAACATCAAAAGGATCGGCATGTAGAAGGGCCTATAACAAAAGCACGAAGGACCAAACTCAAACTTACAATTAAGCATTAATAAAAACAAGGCCCATATATGATTAAAAAAATTTCATAACAAGTATGAGATATATATCCTTTCCAGATATGTGTGTATTGCACAGTTGCCCAAAGCTAATGTCCTGATCATGGTAAAACAGTTATATACAGACCTTGTAATGAATTTTGTGGGTAAACATAATACTCACAAGTTCCTCATCTTGTTGCCTTCGTAATTGAGACCTTTGGCGATGGCGCTCCCTTAGAATATCCTGCAATCTATTTAGATCGTTTCCCAGAAGAGCTTGTGCAAATTCAGGATCGTTCTGGGAGTTAAGGTTACATTCAGCAAGTGAGAAACCAAATGTCAATATCCTTGAATAAACATAGGATGAAACATCTAGCTATGCCAGAATTTTCACAGCTTAACAAAATTCACCACTGCATTTTTGCAACAAAAAAAAATTATGTAATAGTCTTTTCCAAACAAACAATTTGAGATAAATATTGCAGAGGTGTTATGTACGAGAACAAAATGTTGACCGTATGTATTTTGATAATTACAAAACCATCACTTATTAATGATTCCAAGCTAGATTAAATTTGAAGAAAAATAATGAAATGTGAAGGCTTTGCAGCAATTCTGGAATTGTCGCAAAAATTGGCCTTGGCGGCACTTATTTAGCCTTTAGTGGAACTTTTAAAAGGCACTAAAAGTCCAGAAAAAATGCCCCAACCAGGCAATCGGGGAGGCTTGTATGTTGGCCAATCTTTCTGCGGATCAAGTGGGCGACTGGAATTTGTGGAGCAGGCACCCGGAAGCTGCAACGGTAGAAAAGTTACCGTTTGGAGTGTGTCTAATGGCTAGTTTGGTTTGTTTTTTGTATAAATAAGACCTCTAGGGTCTTGGGAGTAGATCACGTATTTTATTGCACATCTAAGTACTCTTGTACAAATAACCTCAAGTCTGGTGAGAGATATACTTGAGTGCATGGTCGAAAGCCTTTGAAGCTTGGGATCAAGTTTGTACGTGGAAAGTTGGGTCCTTGATCAACCAATCTTTTGTAATTTTTTGATTGGGTTAGTGGGTTTGGGGAAACTTCCGAGTGGATTCAGGGAACCAAGTAGGCGGGTGCTGAACCACTGTAAATCGACTCAAGCAAGCTTTCTCTATCCCTACTCTCTTTATATTTGTGCATATATTATATCTGCTTTCTTGATTTATTATTGTGAAAATTCTTGGTCGCTTGAGTTTTGATTTCGATTAGTTCTCATCGTACCTTTGGACCAACACCAAAGTGGTGTGGGACAGAAATTATCCGATGAAAAGCATAGTGTACAACAAAGATAGCCAAGCCAGCACCAAAGCATTCACAAGAGCTTGGATAGGTAGCACCCATTTGATTGAGAGTTCTCCTCAACCAGAGTGCCATAAATCAAACATGATTTCCCCATATGGATGCACCAAAAAGCTCCAAGAGACATGGACAAGAATTCTACCTGAAAGAGTTGTGCCATCATGTTAGAATCCTGTCGAAGTTGTTGCTGGAGAGCTGCAGGGTTCACAGCAGACCCATCAGGATTCACGGCCAAGTCATTTCCCGCAGCGCTGTAATTTTTTAAACCATTTCAAGAACTACTATTTGCACAAAAAACGGGGAAAAAGGAGGGGGACAAAAAAAAAAAAAACATAAAGGAAATCCAATGGCCTCTATGACTCAAAAGGTTAAGGAAGAGGTTATAGGATAAGGAAGAGGTTATAGGATAACAAAGACCGAAAGATGGTTGCAAAGAAACAATAAAAGGCACTGCTCAATCATAATGTCATCCCCATCGCATCATCAAGGGAAAACTCAGTGCACATAAATGAAATTTTAGCTGATATCCGTGATGGTGAAAGATAGTCAATAAAGTGCCCCCTGTCCTAATCTCAATCCACTCCACCATCAAGATGCCATGACACCAAACCTGATTATCTATACTGGCAAAACTTCAAAAAGTATTATCTGATTGAATCAAGACATAAAAAAATTAAAATAGTAAGTAATCTATCAGCATCACTCGTATCAAATCACGAGCAATGCCCTCAGTTCCAAAAATATCATTGCAGCAAAGTTAGGTGTTCTAGATCAAGGGTCATATACTTAATAAAGGAAGGCAGAAAGGGCAAGATTCTTGATTCAGCTTGAGCAGTCCATGTTAGTCGAATCTGCAGAAGTTCCCTCTTCTCGTGGGGAAAGACTAAAGTAGAAAACAGTCCTATCTTTTCACTGTTTCAACTGAATTACTTGGAGAACAAAACCAAACTATTGAAGTAACAGAATTACATAGACCCAGCTTCAGAAATTACAGGTCATCCCTAAATCTTCCGTTAAAAGATTACGCGATACCGAAATTCTTCAAACTAAACAGCCACGACTCGCGACAGGAATGCCTTATCCTCCTACAGCAGCTTCCACTCCCCCCCATCAAAGAGTGCACCCAATTTAAGGGAAAACGAACGTACCCGGAAGCAGCAGCAGCAGCACCACTGGAGACCATCATCACCAAATCCTCATCCTTAACGCCCAGAGCGCTCAGCTTCTCGGAGTTCCTCATCTCCCTCCCATTGTAGAGCAACTGCTGCTGCTGCAGCGGCACGCGCGTCTGCGAAGAGCAAGACAACCAAGATAACTGAGCTAAGGGGCGGCTCGCGGAAGAGGCGCACAAAACTAACCGAAACCGAAACCGATTGCGAGGGAGGAGAAACCCCCACCTCCACCTCCAGCAGAGCCTTAACATTCTCCACCTACATCACACAAACGAAAGCGCGTAAATTACACACGCAGGTTACAGAAGAGAGGAGGAGGAGGACAACGCGGGTCGACTCCAGAATTAGGGTTTAGAACAGGGGGTGCGGGGAGGGGGGAGTACGGATTCGTGAGGATCGACGTCCAAGGAGATGATCTGCTCGTCGGCGGTCATTACGGTGATCTTCATCCTCGGGTCTACTCGCTTCCTGATGCTGCCGCTGCTGCTTCTGCTGCTGCTTCGGATTGAGGGGATGAATCTGGTTTGACTTCGTGCTGCTGATTCCAACGAGCTTTGCTTAGCTGCCTGGCCTTCCGCTTCTGGGTTTCGATCTCGGACTGATGGATTGGGTCGGAAGTGAACGGGACTATATATATATATATATATATATGTGTGTGTGTGTACGGAATTTTGCGGGGAGTGACTTGAGGGAGGGGGCAGCGCCTTTGCTTCTGCGCTCGTCTGCTAGCCGGGCCCAGCAATGGGTGATCGGAACTTTTATCCGAGATGATCCACGGACGGGGAAAATTCTAAATAAGTACATAAAGTGTCCTTCTTTTCTTAAATAAAAATTTAAAATAAATTTTGTGTCAAGTGCTCTTATTTTTTCAAATAAAAATTCAAAATAAATTTTATTTCAAATAAGAACTTGAAGTGACTATGTCTATTTTAAAAAAGAGTCTCACTTATTGGATAATAAGGGCATTTTCGTCTTTTTACTTTTTTGAATCTTTTTTCTTTCTTTTTTACCTTTTCCTTTTTTCTTTCTTTTTCTGGTTTTCGACCACCGGCGAAGCCCGAGAAGGGCTAGGCGACCCTCGCCCAAATCTGGCGAGGGCTGGCCTCGCCCGCCTTTGCCCATGGCCGGCGAGGCTGTCCCTCACCAGCAACTAGCGAGGTGACCCTTGCCCAGATCCGGCGAGGGCCGGCCTCGCCCATACCCGGCAAGGGCGCCTCACCCAAGGCCAGGGTCGCCTCGCCCATGGCTGGCAAGGCCGTCCCTCGCCTGTTGCCGACGAGGGTAGCCCTCGCGCAACCTTTCCCGGCCGGCCACCGGCAAAGCACAAAGAGAAACCCAGAAGAAGAAAAAAGGAAAAGAAAGAAAAAGAAAAAATTTTAAAAATTAAAATGGTTTTTGGACGAAATGCTCTTAACCGGCCGGAATAGGTCAGGCCCTTATTCGGGACTCTCATGGCCATTTCAAGCCCCTATTTGAGACTAATATGCCATTTCAGATCCTTATTTGACACAAAGTCTACTTCAGACCCTTATTTGAAAAAATGATGGCACTTCAAGCCTTTATTTAGAATTTTCCCCCAACGGATGTGTCCATTTTTTTTTCCGCAACTTTCCTTTTGCCATGTATAATCGCCGTCTTAAAAATTTAGAAGTAGTTTTAAGCACTAATACCACGAAAAACCTCAAATTAATACATTTATGACAAATTTACACCAAACTAATACGCCCATGACAAATTTACCCTCTGTTAGTTTCCGTTAAATTGTACTATCAAATTGTTTAGTTAAATGATACACAGTTTGGGGTTTTACCCTCCGTTACTAGTTTGTGATTTTTCGTGGTATTAATCCAATTTAACGGAAACTAACAGAGGTTAAATTTGTTACAAATGTACAAGTTTGAGATTTTTAGGATGCATATGGTAACATTTCTATTTTTGAAAACAATTTCTGTTTAGAAATAGTTTTTTCTATTTCTATTCCCTATACGAGTTTCTAAGCAAAATAATGTGTTTGGTAACTACACAAAATTTTTACTCCTAGAATAGAAAAAGAACAGAAATAAGTTTGGTATAATCCTAAAAAAATGTCTATTCCCAATTTTTTTCATTTAATTATAAAAATGTCAATAAAGACTTAACAATTCATGTTTGGATAAAACTAGACTAGAAATAGAATCAAAATATATTATGATATAGAATTAGATAACCTTAATATAATTATTTTGCTCAGAAAATACCAGGTGGTGGTCAAAGAAATTTGGGTTTGAAGTTTAGGGTTTAGCATATATGGTTTAGTTTTGTAGGGTTTTGTGTTTAGAGTTTTAGGTTTTAGGGTTTGGGGTTTGGGTTTGGTTTAAGAATTAGGGTTTTGGGTTTCGAGTTTGAGGTTTGGGTTTTGGAGTTCGGGGTTTGGGTTTTAGGGTTTCAATTATTAGGTTTTAGAGTTTCAGGGTTTCGGGTTTTTGGGTTTATGATTTAGGGTTTGGGGTTTCGGGGTTTAGAGTTTTAGGATTTAGGGTTTCGGTTTTTGGTTTTGGGGTAGGGTTTTGGGTTTAGGGTTTAGGGTTTTGAGGTTTTGGAGTTCGGGGTTTGGGTTTTGGGGTTTTGGGTATTAGATTTTAGGGTTTCGGGTTTTAGGATTTCGGATTTTTGGGTTTTGGTTTTAGAGTTTTAGGATTTAGAGTTTCGGTTTTTGAGTTTGGGATTTAGGGGTTTAGGGTTTGGGGTTTAGGAGTTTGGGGTTAGGGTTTTAGGATTTTGGGTTTTGGATTTCGGGTTTTAGGGTTTGGGGTTTTGGGATTTAATGGTTTATGAAATTGTTTCTCTAATCCTTTTAATTCAATGCTGGCTACCCTGGAAAGGGAACAACTTCAGGCTTTCTTCACTCTCAGACTTCAAGAGGAGTCCTTTTTAAAACAAAAATCCAGGATCAAATGGTTAAATGATGGGGATAGTAACACCAACTGAGCTAGCTCGGCGTCCATACGGCCTTCTCGCAGAGATATCCGGCTGTTGTGGAGCGTATTCTTAATGATGAGCGAGATTCTTCTCCTTTCTCGCGAAGTCACGGATAGTGAGATCCAAAACACTATGTTTTCTCTCGCTAAAGGCAAAGCTCCTGGCCCAGATGGGTTTAACGTGGATTTCTTTAGAGCATCGTGGGATATTGTGGGTTCCTCCGTTATGAAGGAGGTAAACACCACTATCCTCACACTTGTGCCGAAAGTTCCAAATGCCTCTTCGATGAGTGACTTCCGTCCCATCGCTTGTTGTAATACGGTTTACAAATGCATTACTAAAATATTGGCTAATAGAGTTGCATCAGTTCTGCCATCGTTAGTCAGCCCTCCCCAAAATGCTTTTGTAAAGGGACGAAGAATAGGGGATAATATTCTTCTTGCTCAGGAGCTATTCGCCGGTTTCCATCATGAGCCGTATTTGCCTAAGTGTGCTATCAAAGTAGATTTTCAGAAGGCCTACGACACGGTCGATTGGAACTTCTTAGAATCAGTACTTCAAACATTTGGCTTTCCGTCGATGCTCGTAAAGCTCATTATAGAATGTGTTACATCTCCAAAATTCTCAGTATCCATTAATGGGGAACTCCATGGATTCTTTGCGAGTGGAAGGGGTATTCGACAAGGTGATCATTTGTCTCCCTATCTCTTCACTCTAGTCATGGAGGTGCTGTCGGGAATTCTCAATTCTCAAGCTCGACTTCCGGGGTTTAAATTCTACTGGCGGTGTAAGTCCATTTGCCTCTCCCACCTTTTCTTCGCGGATGATGTCCTTCTTTTTATAGAGGCAAATACGACTTCTGCCACACTTTTTAAGGAAGGCCTTAACCTATTCTCTCGATGGCCTGGGCTAAATCCAAATGCTAACAGAAGCGAGATTTTTATGTATGGTGGGGCGACAGAACTCCGGGATTAGATTCGGGCTATTTTTGGCTTTGGTGAAGGTACACTTCCCTTTCGTTATCTTGGAGTTCCTGTTACTTTGACTAGACTAAGCAAGACTGACTGTAGCTCGCTAGTAAACTCCATTCTTGCTCGAGCTCGGTCTTGGTCTCAACGTTTCCTTTCCTTTCTTTGGATGGTTACAACTTATTAAGTCGGTCCTCCACTCTATTCATGTTTTTGGGCTAGTGTATTCACTATTCCATTATCGTATTAGCGAGGATCGAGTTAATTCTCGAGCAATTCCTATGGAAAGGCCCGGACCTAAGTGGGGGCGGAGCCAAGGTTCCTTGGGCTGATGTATGCGAGGCCAAAAAGAAGGGGGTCTAGGTATACGTAGACTCATCGATTGTAACAGGGCGGCTATGCTCAAGCATATATGGATTCTCTATACAGATAAAGAATCTTTGTGACATAAGTGGATTCATTCCACCTTCCTCAAAAACAAAAATTTCTAGGTAGCGACTAAACCGACTGTTTGCTTGTGGGCTTGGAAAAAAATTCTCGACCTCCGACGGGAATTCCGTTTGCAGTTTAAATGGAGGATTGGTAATGGAAGCTCAACTTCTTTACGGTTTGATTATTGGCATCCTAGAGGGCCCTGTCCGAGCTCTTCTCAAACGGGGATATCTCTGCTCGGGTATCCCAAGAAAGGCGCGGTTCGGGATTTCTTCTCCTGCATCATTTGGATTCCAATATTTTGCAAACTATTAATTCTTGGACAGATACTCTGCCTACTTTTCATAGGGAAAGGCCTGATCAAGTAATCTGGCAAGGTCACTCCTCGGGAACCTTCTCAACGGCCTCGGCTTGGGAGTTGATTAGATCCAGAAGCCTGTCTGTTCCCTGGAGTTCGTTCATTTGGAATCGTAGCTTGGCGCCGAGATATGGGTTCCTTCTTTGGCTCATCACTCTTGATAGGCTCCCAACTCAGATTATTTTGCTAAATCATCGTAGAATTCTTGAAGGTCTGTGTGCTTTTTGTAGACATACTCCGGATTCTATTGATCATCTTTTCTTTGATTGTGCTATCACGGGTTCCTTGGCATTATATTGGGCAAGAAATTGCAATCTCTCTTGGCGGAATAGCTCATGGCAGGAAAACCTCCAGTGGGCAGTCCGGTTCATTGGTGGAAATAGCTTTCGCCAACGAATTGCACGTTTCTCCTTTGGGGCGCTTTGCCATATTATTTGGTTGAAACGTAATCACATCCATTTTGACTTCTATATTCGAGTAATCCACTTGTGTTGGAAAGTTATAATACTCCTTACCTTACCCAAAAAAAAAAAATTTGTTTCTCTAAAATGATATTGTTTCTCTTTTTGTTCCGAGGAATAGAAAAGTAAATTTTTTTTACTTCCTATTTCTGTTTCAAATCTATTCCCTGGCCACTTTTCTATTCCGGGGAATAAAAAAATTAACCGACGTACACAAACGGATTTCTGTTCTTTTTCTGTTCCGGAAAATAAAAAAATAGAAAAACAGTAAAACAGAAACGTTACCAAACGCGCCCTTAGTGGTCGAAAATAATTTTTGGTAAATTTATCACCGGTGTACTAGTTTGAGGTTATTAGTGGTCAAAAAATTAATTCTTGATAAATTTATTTTATGTGTACCAGTTTGAGATTTTTCGTGATATTAACTCTATTTTTAATCGAACGCAATTCTCATTTTCCCCGTAAATCGGCTAAATGCCTTGAAAAACACTCATGAATGAAACCTTTTCTTTTCTTTCTTTCTTTTTATAACGGATAAAGGAGCGAGTCAATAGTTTAAATTCAATCGAATTTATCTATTGCAAAACTTGTCGGGGTTTTTTGAACACCCGATTGATCTTCATCGGATATGATAGTCTCATCCTGAGTAATTAATTACCAGAGACACATGAAAGTCAATACTCTTGATAATGGCCTCAAGAAAAAGGACAAACGTGGTAATTTGAATCCTAGCCTTGAGGTAGGATTACAAAGGTACTTTTCACTTGAATAAAGATTAACTACAAACTAGCTTGATGTGTTGTAAGCCACGATAATTTTAGTCAGAGACATTTTACATCAGCCGACCATAAGAAGCAACGGACTATGTGACTTAAAAAAAAAAAAAACTACGAAGGAGAACCATGAGATTGGCCTTTATACCCACATTACATGGAAAGTTAAAGGAATCTTTTGTCTAGCTTCTCGCCTGATTTAAAATACTACTGATGGGGAAAAATAAACGATCCTGTGTCCCTTGCAATAGAATCTGCCGCCGGAAATAATTGAATTGACGAATGTTGAGCCTCTTTCAAGAAGTTAAAAGGACGGATTAAAGCCAGATGAAAGTTTAGGTTCAATGTCAATTCTCGAGTGTAATCTTTTATAGGAGATTGGAATACGGCAAATGAAACAGACGTGCAAAGGCCGGACTTGGATAGGGGCCAGTGGGAGACTGGGCTGCCGGAGAACCATTTTGCTTGAGCCCGCCCATCGTATTTTCCTTTTCACTTTCCAGCCAAGTCCAATAAGGCAAAGATTTTCCCGAGAAAATTCAGCTACAATGATGAGCCAGCCTCGAGCATACGAGTCCACCCGCGCACGACCTTCGTATTTGCCATTGTCATTGACTGTTGCATTCTCAGTTCGATAGGAACCGAACCGCCGTATCATGACGTTCTAAACCCAACTCGCGTACCGCCTTCGTTGTCGGAGGGGAGTTCTTTTTGTCGGAATCATATGGGAGTTTGATAGATTATAAAAGGCATTCTTTGGGTGATCATGTAGCTCCTACCCTTATTTTTCACTTGTAAATTAGGACAAAGATCTCCGAATTCCAACACAATTCCTTGTATCTCCGTTTAGTTTCGAGAGCATATTGCGTGTTCAGGGGCGAGAAGGTTTACGAGCACGGATTGAGTGGATGAAGCGATATGAGTCGGTGCATATGTTAGCCCATACGATATGGTAATCGGGTAACACGGTTTATTTAGTAGCTCACGCAAATTAAACGTGGGCAGACTAAGAACATGTTTCCTGGACTTAAAAGCTTGCTAGCTAATTTGGACTTTTCCAACGTGACGTATGAGCCTCAATTTGAAGGATTCGCCTCTTTGAGAGGAGCATATAATTTACACACCAATGCGGCACTAAAACAAAGGTATCATTAACAAGGGACTCGAAGCACTCGCTTAGTGTAATTTTATCTAGAATGATTCGATTTTCAAGGCATCGAGTGGGCAACAACACGAGAGCAAACCCTAGAGTTCCCTTCAGTTTGCTAACACTTTTCCCTTTCCTCTCCCCCCAAAAAGACATGGGATGGAGCAGAGGACACAGAGCTCGGGCCTAACGCCATGGCAGCATCTAAATTGCGAAGAAACTCAGCAGCACGAATCCGAGGTATGAACATTAAGAAATCTCACACGAATGCAATACATAGAAGAAGATATTCCAATCAAACAGAGACCATACAAGACCCCTTGACCCAAAGAATTATTATATATATACATCCTGACAAATCTTCATACAATCATCGGCACCAATCCGGAAGAACAATGTCCCAACAAATCCCAACGCAAGATTTCACGACCCAAGATCAGGGAAAACAGCCTAAAAAAAAAAAAAATTCCCCAGAACGAATCCAAGGAGCGAACCTAAAAGGGGGGAGGAGCCGGGAAACCCAGGAACGGCCTCCCGCTCCCGCAGAGCCCGGCGGGGCCGCCGCTGGGATCGCAGTCGTGGATGGTGTCCTTCAGCTTGTGGAACCCATGCTTGAACACCCCGAAGCCGAACAGCAGCCCGATCAGGACCACCACCAGGATCAGGCACGTGCAGAGCATGCACACTCTGCTGCCGCAACACATCTTCTCCTTCCTTCCTCCTTCCTCCCTCCTCCGACTTGCAATCTCTATGGGGGGGGCGGGGGTCTGCTGGTGGGTCCGATGGATCTCGTGTGGTCAGATCTCAAAAGGGTTTTGCGTATTTAAGAGAGGGAGAGGGAGGGGCGATGAACGCGAGAGGAGCGAGAGATCTTGAGAGACGTGGAGTGAGGGAGGCGAGGCTGAGGTGTGTAGTGGAGGTGAACGCAACGGGATGACGATACGACGAGGGGTTGGATTCAAATCGGTGGGGTTGGGGGTCGCTTGAAAGGAAAGCAATTTCATGCGTGCGTCTCTTCGATAACGGTCCTCATAAAAAGCGACTTTGTTTTTAGCAGATATAGATAGTTAATTGCTCCGAATCTTATGAGCAATGATAGCAGCAATACAGTGAGAAAGTTGAAGACGGAAAAAGAGGAGCCCTTTTGCTTTCGATGACTCTCGTTTCCCTGGATTGGTTCCGTGGCGGGGCGAATCAATTTGATTGTAAAGTCGAAAAAAGGGTTGTGATTCGAGGATAATTCGAATTCGACTATGTACGCTTTGTTAAACAACAGCCAATTTCGCTTTGAATTTTCGCGAGTTTATGGATGTCATAAGGAAGATTACATCGTCGGTCTGTGGGATTATCTATAAGATGATGGGTAATTTTTTATTTTTTTTTATGGCACTTACTTTGTAACTTTTGGAAGGATGAGGGTTGGTATCGGATGAGAAAGAGATAGAGGACTTTCTATTGCCCTCAAAACGTAACGGACAATCCACGAGTTTTGGCCCACCACGCCCACATCACTCCGCCACCCGCTCAACCAACCGCAGCAGCCTGATTTTTTCATCTTTTAACTGCTCCATCATCGTCCTTTTCGGTTTTGCAAAATAGACTTTACTTTTTCTTTTAGCGTTTTTTTTTTCTTTTAGCAGTTGTCCGGGCCAATTTTTGCGAATCCAAATTTAAGGATGAGCGGTTCCAGATTTTGTCCTGAACCTGAAACTTACCTATCGAAACAGATTTCTTATTTTTTGGAACCCAGAACTTCCCATACATATTCTAGAACTGAAGACCTACTTTGTTCTAAGGACTACCTGGGAATCAACCTTTTTTTTTTGTTCATTTTCAGTTAAGCCTAATTTGTCGTTTGTTTTTTCGGATTTTGACATAAGAAAGGACTAAAGTTACCTAGTTTTTTAGACTTTTTAAGTCCGCCACAACCAAACGGGGACTTGGTGGCTATATCTAGTTGTTGATATTGCATGGCTTTGCTTTGGCTTCAAGAAATCAATTTAGGTTTAAGTAGCAAAAGGGTCCCACCGGAAACTTACTTGTCGGAACAAGTTTCTCGTTTACCCTGAATATCATGAAAATTTGAATCAGACAATGAGAATCAATCCAGTTCTATTCTGGGACTATAGTCACCCCTACCCAAATTTATAGTATTGACGCTTCTTGCCACCAGAATTTTAGTAAAAAGGCATCAAAAAAGCAAAATCGTCGGGATATGAGTTGACCCTTTTCATAAGCCTTTACCCTTGGCACAAATTTTTAAGCAGAATAGAAATTGGGTTTGTGTCGTGATAGGTGTTGCCTAATGTTAGCGGGCAATTTTTTTATCCCTAGCCTATTAACTTCGTAAAGCACGGTGATGATTCTAAAAACTCGAGACTTGTTTGGTGTGGCGGTGTGTATTTTTTGTCGTGGTTAATTTTAGGTCTTGTGACTATTAACGTGATTATTGTCCAAACCTTAAAAGTGTAGAAAGAAGCGTAAACTCTAATTAAAATCCGAAAGAGATCAAGAGCAGGAACGGAGCTACCTTACAAGAAGTCAATTGTCCACCACTAAAATGTTTAGAGCACGACAGTACTCATGTGTTTCTTCATTGTGCCCCCACATTTAGGAGTCGTGACAGAAAACTGTAGCCTTTTCGAAGAGATCGGTGCTGTACGAATAGAATCATTCGATGTTTCTCTTATCTTGCCCCCAGCTGGAAATAAAAAAATTTCTAAACCCGTCCTGACGGAGAGCAACCACTGATTTTGATAGTGAAAAACGAAAAATTTAAAAAATATTTTCTTCAAAATGATCGCTTGCATCGTTTACAAAGATAAATGAATGAAAAATATTTTCATTAAACATAAAAAGATAAAGTTCATATAATGAAATAAATTGATCGCTTAAATATTTTCATATAAAGATAAAGTTCGTATAATGAAATAAAAAGATAAAGTTCATAAAAATATTTTCATTAAGCATAAATATTTTCTTTAAAATGATCGCTTGCATCGTTTATAAAGTTCAATACGAGTACTGAGCCTTGAATATTCTAGACATAAATTGTTGTCAATAATGAAAATATTTTTCAGTAACTAATTATTTTAAGCGAAAAAGATAATTATTTTTTAAAATATTTTTTTAACTATTTATTTTTCATGAAATAAATGAAACCCAATATATAGAGCCAAATGGCCAAGAGAAAGATGGGTGGGATGTTGTTCTCTCTACAGTGAAGATGCCTGTAAGTCATGAGAAATTGAAGGAATTAAACCTTTTAATCAAAACCGACCTTTTGAGGGGAAGTTTTCAAACTGGACCCTATAAAAAAAAAATAAAGGAAGCCAATATGCCTCTGTCTTTTCTTCTTCCTCTTCAAAAGCTGCCCAAGTAGTGATGCAAAGGCCAGCGCAGAAATTGTTCGTATACCGTCCCGATTCTCGACTACAAGATACGGTTCTCTCGGACGAAATTGTTTGAAGAAGAAGAAAAGAAGAGAAGGGGATGAATGAATTGTCTAACCCTCTAGGTTAGCATGCTCTCTTATTTATACTAATAGTGAGGGTACATAGTAATGTGGTAGACATTCCCACACATGATAGTAAATAATAATAAAATAACTCATAATAACTCCTAACACCCTTCCTCAAGCTGAGGCATAGATATCGACCATGCCTAGCTTGTTACATATAAAGCGAACCCGTTGCCCAGCTAAAGATTTAGTAAACACATCTGCTGGCTGATCACCAGTATGAACATGTGAGAGAGTGATACTCCCACGCGTAAGCTCCTGTTGAACGAAATGACAGTCAACCTCAATGTATTTTGTTCTCTCGTGAAAGACAGGATTTGAAGCAATGTGAATCGCTGAACTACTATCACACCATAGCGAAGTAGGACCACTCAACCCATATCCAACCTCATTCAGAAGATGTCTAGTCCACATAATCTCTGCAGTGGCTGCAGCAATGGCTCGATACTCTGCTTCAGCACTACTCCTCGCAACAATGTCCTGTTTCTTACTCTTCCATGCAATCAAATTACCACCAACATACAAAGCATATCTAGAGGTAGACCGCCTATCAGTAGGGCAACTAGCCAATCAGCATCAGTATAACACTCCATGCGAGCGTGACCATGAGCGGCAAAAACAATTCCCTTGCCGGGACTACCTCGAAGATATCTCAGAATCCTCAAAACAGCATCCCAATGTGGTTGTCTAGGTGCTGCCATAAACTGACTAACTACACTAACCGAATATGCAAGATCAGGTCTAGTCATCGTAGTGAGATAGTTTAGTTTACCAACAACACGTCGGTATCTGTCAGGGTGTTCAAACAACTCGCCCTGATCAAGAAGAAGCTTCAATCCCGGTTCCATAGGCAACTCTGCAGATCGAGAGTGCTGCATGTTAAATTCAGCCAAAATATCTAGAATATACTTACGTTGTGACAAAGAAATACTTCCTTTCTTTCGAGCCACCTCTATGCCAAGAAAATATCTCAAATCACCCAGGTCTTTCATCTCAAAGTGAGTATGTAAATATCTCTTCAGCTCAACAATACCCTGCTCATCATCCCCTGTCAAGACAATGTCATCCACATATAAAACCGAGAAAGATACACCCAGTAGTAGCACGACGATAGAACCTTGCATGATCCTTTTGAGATTGAAGCAAACCAAAAGTCGAACCACTGAGTTGAATCGGTCAAACCATGCTCGAGGAGAGCTTCAAACCATACAAAGAGCGACGAAGCTTACAAACTTTCCCTCCGAGCAAAGCCACGGAGGCTGCTCCATATAAACATCCTCAGCAAGATCACCGTAAAGGAAAGCATTCTTGATATCCAAGCGATGGAGAGACCAAGAATGCAGTTGCAAGGGATAAGAAAAGCCGAACAGATGCCATTTTGGTAGCAGGGAGAAGGTCTCAAAGTAATCAAGACCATGAGTTTGAGCATAACCCTTAGCAACCAACGGGCTTTCGGACGAGCAACGGTTCCATCGGGATTGACCTTCACGGCAAACACCCAACGACAACCAATAACACGAGCACCGGGAGGAAGATCAACCAAGGACCAAGTCTGATTGCGTTGGAGGGCACTCATTTCCTCCTCCATGGCCAAATGCCAACCTGCATGCTGAAGAGCCATGGGAACAGAAATAGGTAGGGAGGTAGCATCAATATTAGCTACAAAAGCCGACAAACTCACTAATAAACCCTTGTAGGAATGTGTATAAAGAGGGCGATCCCTGCAAGCACGATAGCTCTTACGAAGAGCAATAGGTTGCTCGGCTGTATTAGTCTCAGTAAGTGGATCAGCTACAGGAGGGACTTGCTCAACAGGAGGATCCTCCACAGGAGAGACTAGCTCAGAGGGAGAATTGACAATGGGGGCAATGTCTAGTGAAGACGCTAGAGATATAACTGGATGAGAGACCATTGGTGGAGAATAGACAAGTACAAGGTCAGAAGATGTGGACTCGGATAATGGCGGGACCAAATCAGATGAACTAGAGCTAGTTGCAGAAAAGTAAGGCTGAGACTCTATGAATGTGACATGACGGGAGGTGAGCATTTTTCTTAAGGTAGGAGAATAGCAGCGATAACCCTTTGACACCCGTGAGTAACCAAGAAAAACACATTTGAGTGCACGGGGATCTAGTTTTGATACACCCGGACAATCATCATGGACAAAACAAGTACACCCAAAAAGTTTAGGGGAAGAGAAAAAAGCTGCGATTAGGAAAGAGGAGCCCATGTGGAGTATTACCCCAAGAAAAGAAAGAGGCATACGATTAATGAGATAGCATCTTTGTAAGAACGACTTCCCCCATAATTTTTGTGGAACATGCATATGTATAAGAAGAGCACGGCGAGTATCCATAAGATGGCGATTCTTCCGCTCAAGCAACACTATTCTGTTGGGGTGTGCGAGCACATGAAAGACGATGGTGAATACCATGAGAACGGAGAAATTGATGGAAATGATCGCATATATTCCCCTCCACGATCAGATTGTAAAGCCTGAATGTTATGATGGAATTGAGTGTGGATAGAAAAATAAAACTCACGGAACACGGAAAATAACTCAGAACGTTCTTTTATTAAGTAAACAAATGACATTCTTGTGAAATCAACGACAAAGAGAACATAATAACGATAACCAAAGACTGACATAACAGGACTAGGTCCCCACACATCAGAATGGACCAAGGCAAACGGAGCAGTTGCTCGTTGAGATACACTTGATGGTAAAGAAACACGACTATGCTTTGCAAGTTGACAGGACTCACAATTTATTGTAGACACTGAACGAAAATGAGGAAACAATGACTGCAACATAGATAGAGAGGGATGTCCCAAACGATAGTGAACGTCTAAAACATCTGTCTCTTTCACTAGCGCAGTCGGAATAGACGCACCATCTAGCTGGTAGATCCCACCATTGACACTTCCCTTGCGATAGTCTTCCGCATCGAGAGATCCGCAAAACACAATAATCGGGGTAGAAAGTCACGGAGCAATTCAAATCCCGTGTGATACGACCAACAGATAACAAATTAAATGGCATGCCGGGAGTATATAAAACAGAAGATAAGGAGATCTCATCGGAAGGTCGTGCAACTCCGTGTCCCTAAACCATCAAGGATGACCCGTCCATAATAGTAATATGGCGTACGGAGCTGAGGATGATATGCGGTAAGAATACCTCTATTACCCGTCATGTGAGCACGGCACGGAATCAATAATCCAAGTAGCGGAAGGAAGAATGCGCATCTTTGAGGTAGAGGAATAATTAGATGATTCTTTGTAGTTGTGCAATAGAGGGCCTTGATCCCTACTCCCCAGTGCAAACTCCAAGTAGCGAGTATACTCCTCGGGACTCATTGTGATCACCTTTTGGTCCATAGGCACGCTCTCGGGCGCAACATGAGCAGATGTGATTAGTGAACCGAAGAGCACTGTGCGGCTTGTAATTTTCGGCAATAGGCTGCGAAGATGTCCAACAATACCACAATAATTGCAAGTACGAGTCTCCCAACCACGACCAGCGGTACCACCACGACCTCCCCTCGGTCACGGCCTCCTTGCCACGGCCACCTCCTTTGTTCGTATATAAAGCGGCATTGTTCACCAACCTACGAGGGGCGGCTTTAACCTCCTCACGACTCGCAGTACGAAGAACACGACGATGAACTTCTCCAAGAGAAGGAACTCGAGCATCTGAAAGGATTTGTGAGCGAGCAATGTCAAACTCAGTACCCAGCCCATTAAGATAGCAAGTGACAAGAAACTGATTTCGTTGTTCTTGAAAAGTAGTCCGACTAGACGTAAACGGGACTAACCGATCAAATTCATCGCAAAGGATTTAAAATCCTCATAATATCCCGAGCAGGCCGACGGCAGGCGGCTCAACAACCCACACACAATCGCGAGAAATCATTCGGAGAGGAGTATAAATCGCCAAAGCATCCCATAACTCCTTAACGTATCGTATTGCTAACAACGGTGCGACAGAAATATCCATAGCATTCAATAGTTGACTATAAATACGACAATCAACGAGTGTACCATTCATCATAAGTCGGGTCATCCCTGCGGGGAGGCGAGTAAGATGATGAGATAACTTGTCGTGCAAATTCTTGAAAACATTCTTCTTCCAAAGTGTGTATGTAGACTGTCCCGTCAAAACACGTTCGACGAGCTTAGACGAAGTAGATATAAAAGTCGGAGCTTGTGACCGCATCACATCAAATCCGGTCGCACTAGATCTATTCATGGCTAATCCAGTCTCACCGGATTCAACAGCAGCGTCTATCGGAGTCTCTGAATCACTTGACATAATGATGCGTACTTAATCTAGTCACACCGATTAATCGGAAAATTAGATTAAAGAAAGAGATCACAAGCTCTACCGTTTCATAGATCCTTGATCGAACTAGATAAGATCGGAAGAAGAGAATGACCGACAAAAAGAGAAAAGGGGAGAGATTAGATCGAGAGAGAGAGAGAGAGAGAGAGAGAGAGAGAGAGAGAGAGAGAGAGAGAGAGAGAATGTGACGGTGATGGTGGTGGTGATGGTGGCGGCTAGGGTTAGGATTTAGGTTGGGCGGCGGCTAGGGTTGGCTACGATACCATGTTTGAAGAAGAAGAAAAGAAGAGAAGGGGATGAATGAATTGTCTAACCCTCTAGGTTAGCATGCTCTCTTATTTATACTAATAGTGAGGGTACATAGTAATGTGGTAGACATTCCCACACATGATAGTAAATAATAATAAAATAACTCATAATAACTCGTAACAGAAATCATCTTTCGAACCTAATTGTATTGGAATCGAAACCCAAACGCGCCTTATTTGCTATCGTGGGAAAGCAGAGCCTGTCAAGACCGAAGAGTTGTCGAGGAACAACTAGTATGCATGATCATATATAAGTACTTCCCGGAGTAACAATCTCGCCAATTTAAGGATGAAGAACTAAAGTCTCCACTAGGAGCGGAGAAACGAAGCAAATCATGCATGATCTGTATTGACAACTGGGCCTGTTTGTAAGAAACATGCAAATCATGGGCTCTTGTGCCTATTCTTGAAAGCAAGTAGATCATGGGGCTTTTTGCCTTCCCGGTTTCTGGGCACCGGGCATCATGGGCTTCCAGGGCTTCTTACTTGAAGAAAAAGGGCGAAAAAGAAAAGATGGTTTCGAGAATTTTTTTAGAATTAGTTTGAGTTCTTGCAAAATGAGGAAACGATGAAGAGAAGCACCATATTGTGAAAGTACCTAAAAGTTCTCACTGTATCGACAATAGTTTTGCGGTTATACTAGTTTACTGCGCCCATGCATCTCGATCCCGATATGCCCAATTTTTATCGGTTCTTTTTTGTTTAGCGGATATGCGGTGATCCGGATAAACTTTCACGCATCTCGACTGTTCCATTTCTTGGATGATTCAAGGACACACTCTCCTACATTGGCCTGACGCATTAAATATCATCAATTTAACTCTTTCTCTCATTCATCTAAGCACACAAGCTTTGGCATTGGTACTCAATGCAAGTTGAGGACAATTTCTTCTTTTCTTACTGGCCAAATGAAAACACCTAGTAGGAGGTTATTTAACAATTTCAAACTAATCAGAAAAGAACTTCCTCCCGTTTTCTCTTAACCTAACTACTCTGTCTTCCCTTTCATATCCTGTTTTGTCTCAACCTAAAACAATTATCTCATAAAACAATCGAGATTTTGGATTGGAAGTGTAATAGAAAAATAGTTAAAGTCAATGAAAAAAGTACCAAAAAAGTCATAAACTTATTGTATTTATACTAATTCAGTTCTCAACATTTCAATTAAACTAATTTCGTTCTAAATCTTTTTACATTAGAACCAAAGTCAATAGGACCAATTTAGGCCAAAAATCGCCGACGTTAATATTTTACTAATTTTTTGAATTTTTTATTAATTAAAAAATTTCCCTTTTTTTCCTTTTCTTTCCTTTGGCCTATGACCGATACTGTCCACATCAGAGATTTCCGACTTAATTGACCGAATGGAATGAATTGATACAAATATAAGAGTGTTTATGATTAAATTGATCAAATTAAAAGGTTTAAAACTGAATTGTTATTAATGCAATATGTTTATGACTTCTTTGGTATTTTTTGCTAAGTTCAATATTATAGCTAATTGGATGCTTTGAGTCACTTGCATCGCTTACGAGAAAGTACCGATGAAAAGTATTTCATTATCGACAAAAATTTTTAAACATATATTATTTTAATCACTGATTGTTCGCAAAATAAAACGCATTTACTAGATGTGAATGTATAATTGGGCATTGGGCATTGGGCATGGACACGAACGATCGAATGTTTTGCTTTACATATAATTTAGTTTCTACTTTGCTCAATAAATATAATTAGAAGATCATTTATGAACCGGACTTTTTTGGAATATCAATCCAAAATATTCGGGGCGTAGAATTTACAAAACGCTACTCGACGGCCCACATCGTCAGCTCCGGCGAAGCGGACAAGAAGCTGAAAACTTCCATTTTTTCTTTCTCCTTTTCATCTCGACAATTAAAAGAAGGTTTTTTGGAAGGAAAACAAAAAACCTAAAAGAAAAAAGAATGCAAATTGGGATAATACTCCATCGGCTCCGAGCTACCAGCACTGATCCGTGTCCCACCTCCGGGTCGGGCAACACCAGGCGCCGCCGCTCGCGGGCCGCCTCCGCTGGTGCGGCCCGAGGGAGAGGTCGTACAGGGCCCTCGCCGACGGGTCGGAGAGCGTGGCGTACGCGTCGTGGATCTCCAGGAAGTCCCGGCCGTCCTCCGATCCGGCCTCGACCCGGCGCAGGGCGTCCGGGTGGTAGAGCTTGGCGAGCGTGCGGTACGCGCCCTTGATCTCGGTCGGCGACGCGGTCCGCTCGACGCGCAGCACCTCGTAGAGGCTCGCCGCCTTCGCCGCCGCCGCCGCCGCGGCGGCAGCCCGCCTCCGGGGCTCCAGGGCCACGAGGGGCGAGCGGCGGTTGGCGGCGGGGGAAAGAGGGGGAGGGGGGCCGCGGCGGCGGCGGGGGGAGGAGGCGAGGTTCGGCGAGGCCGCGAGGGCGAGCATCGGAGAGGGAGAAATTTGATCGCTGGAGGCTGTGGTGGTGGTGCGAGGTGTGAATGAATATGGAATGGCGGACGAGGAGGAGGAGGAGGAGGAGGGAGGAGGGTGGATGGGTGGGGGTTTGGTTTTTATAGAGTCAACATCGGAGTTGAGATTTGAGTGGTGAAGTGGATGCGGTGGGGCCAAGCGTGCTGTCTTGATGGGGTTTCTTGCAATTTCCTGCGCAGCTACGGCGTGTTTTGACCTGGCCTTCCTTAGCTTCTAGAAGGCGAATCTGGCTTCGGATCTTCCCATAGATGGGAGCACGGCGAATCCCGAAATTTTGATCTTGCTCGAAAGTTGTTTCCGGGCAAATTTTTTTTTCGTGAGATTTGGCGATTCTCGAATCCTTTTGTAGGGTGGTCCTTGTGTTGGGTCCTTGGGCATGTCAATAGTGATGTCGATTCTAGATAAGATCTGAGGCGATAATTAGAGGGGATCACTGGGCTGGTCGAGCCTGATGCGTTACTCGAGCCAACTTAGGTTGTAGAATCTGCGCATGAATGTTAGGCCGAGCCCAAGTTGGGCGATTGAGCGTTCTCGGTAAGGATGTTGCCCCAGGCCCATCCATTGCCGAGCGACCTGCGGCCTGTTGATCGCCTCTAGTGGCGGTGGAGGTGGAAACAAATCCATGAAAAATGTGTTTCGATTTTTAAAGACGAAGATCACATTTTCTCAATTTGAGTATTAATTTTTGTTGGCCGTGAAAATACTGCTGATTGACTTGTTTTCCATTTTCCTCAGTGTTGTCAAGTGACAGAAAGCACTTTATGTTTAGATTTTTTTCTTAAAAGAGCCCTAAAATCACGGTAATGACCGTCTTATGTATGAAGTGCAAACCAAAACAATGTAGAACAACAAGACAAATGTCTCGAACACATAATAGAAGAACGGGGAACAGGATAAACAAGAAACCAAATGTGAAACATAATACTAATTGAGACATAAAACGTGCAGAATCGAGCTCCGCTTCCATGTTGAATGTCTCACCCAATCTAACTGATGGATCGGAGGGCAACTGTAATTTTCGGTGCTATCAAGCGATGACATTCCCAAAGGCTCAAACCTCGAACATATTTGTAATCGATACAAGATCCCCACGACAACACTTACAAGGAACGAACATTTCATAGACAAATTACCACGGCATTTTATAAACTAATCTTCCAACTTATGTCCATCGTTGACTCTATTCCTCTTTATTTATGCTGTCTCGCGCGAATTGCTTTTTTCTTGACCCGCAAGAATCTCATGCTTGTACCTTGGAAGGAGGAGGCAAAAAAATTGTCAGCGTTATTTTCGTGGAAATTCACATCTCACGTGGAAACTGCATGAACAAGACCGGATCAAATTATATTTCTTTTCGTGTTTAGTTTCCAAATTGCTCCTTCTTTTTATATTGCAAATTGTAAAGCACAGAGTGTCGTTTACTTCTGGAACATGAGAGCGCAAGTTGCATGTACTCCTTCCTAGATCAGCATTTGCGTGTTAGGATTTAGGAGGACCTACAAAAGCAGCATGCGGTTGAGAGCTCTTCCTAGATCAGCATTTGCGTGTTAGGACTTAGGAGGACCTACAAAAGCAGCATGCGGTTGAGAGCCCTTCCTAGATCAGCATTTTGCGTGTTAGGACTTAGGAGGACCTACAAAAGCGGCATGCGGTTGAGAGCCCTCGAGGCCGTGGGCCCGGAGATCGACGAAGCCGTCCTCAGCCTATCGAGTGCCAAGATAAAAATCTCCCCTCTTGAACGCTTTAGAGAGAAACAAGCTCTCGTCTCTTCAAGTTGAAGTCAGGAAAAATTATCCAATCAGATAATTCAGTCCTAAACATTTTAATTTTATTTATTTAATCACAAATCTTTGCGCGAAATTTCAATATAGCCATTCTGATTAATTTTCGCTGACAATCGCTGATGCGGTGGTCCAATCTATTTCCAACAAAAATTAATCAAAATGGTTACATTGAAATTTCACTTAAATATTTAGGACGAAACATACGGAATTAAAAATTTTAAATCCGAAATGATATTTATATAACGGGTTTAGGACCGGTTGGATAATTTTTCTGTACAAGTTGATTACAGCACATCAATTATTGCGGATTTTTTTTGTTATCTTTTTAAAAAATGATTAGCGATAATCAACATTAGGTGAAGTGTGGTTATGCTCTAGGAGCGCGCCCCAAGATGAAAAAGGACATGAGGGGTCGGTCCATTCATCTGTTCGAGTTTTTTTTTTGAGTGGCTCTGATTGGTCGGGGCACGTGCGAGGAGTTCTAGAAGGCCTGGTCCCGGTATGGTCCGGAGCTGAAGTCAAGTTCGCGGTCGCTCGATTGGGTATGAGGTTACAGCTAAACGCATGTTGTCATGTGCGCTCGGGGTTTGGCAGATCCCAAAAGCTTCTGGAAGGCTTCTCATTGACCACCAAACTTTAGGTGCTTTTTTCGATCTGGTTTGGTCATCCGTCCATTCATCCCGATGTTAAATATCTCCTCTCCAATGCAATATTTTCCTCCGATCGTATCCATGGGCATATTTTGACCAAGGAAAAAAAAATTCCACAGCTAGGGTTTCCTCCAACAATGATGGTGCGAAAACACGACCCGTTTCTCTATAGCGTCCGTGGATTGGAGCGGGTCGATTTTTTTTTGTAGGTTTTCCTTATGCAACCGAAGTAGAAATTGGGCTTTCGTCGAATTGCTAATACACTGATAAGTTCGTGACGGGTTATATTTTATCACAAAAATAACATCATGATAATAGTTTGTACATAAATGTTGCTTAATTAGCTTGTTCCTTTAATTTAATGAATGAATTCCAAGGGTATTTTAGTGATTAGGATAGTTTTTCGTCTTCCTGTAAATGAAGCATAAATGTGATTAAATGAGCATGTCTTGACTCTAAGTGAAATGGTGTAGTTCCGTTTTTAGTTGTGTTTTGATATTGTGACTTAATTTAACTTTGAATCAAGTTCAAGCTGGGATTGTGAACATTTCGGGTTTCGATTTGAGTTTTGGGGACTCAATCGCGGGATAAACAATTAGAACTTATAACTTGAAATGAACGTTACGAGTGCGAGCGAGATTATTCTTGGCTAGATTTACATAAGAAGTGTGAATTCGAGGATACGATCCTCTTCCAACAAGACCTCCCGGGCCACGGCACCATAAAAGTCGCTATATATTCACAATTTTGTTTGATAGAGCTTCACTCTAGACTCGTGAACGGGACAATTTGTATGTGTATATTAAAATCACTTTAGTTAGAAAGATGGCATGCATCATGTTATGTAAATATAGAAAGTTTTCGTGGCATCAGTTCTTATTGGCTTATCTTGACTTATCTTCCTAAGAACAAGAAAAATAATGAATTCTTTTTATCATATGGTTGGGTTGACACTGTCAATGTGCTGAGCAGGACTCAACTTTTTCTACTTTGCAGTCCATACTACTTGTTGGGTTAAGCTGATGATGAAATGAAAGTCATGCTCCACCAAACAACCCCTCGCTTTTTCTAGAACGCATGTCATCCAAAATGATAGAAAATTTCACGAGGACCTTCGCATAGGTTGAGTGTACTCAATCATGGCGTGCGATAATGATTGAAAGATTAGGAGAAAGAACGTGGAAACTCCTCCGCCACTACAAAAAAATAAGGATTTAGCCACGAAAAATTTTTCGTCGCAAGTTTGTGACGAAATTCGCCACGAAAATTTATTCGTGGCAAATTTGCCACGAAATTTGCTACGAATAATTTTTCATCCCTAATTTGCGATAAAATTTGCTACGAAAAATTATTCGTGGCAAATTTACGACGAAAAATTATTCGTGGCTAATTTGCGACGAAAAATTATTCGTGGCAAATTTGCCACGAAAATAGAACATATTAGAGTAAATGCGTTTTTTTGAAATTCGTGGCAAATTTGCCACGAATTTTCCAACGAAAATAGAACATATTAGAATAAAATGCATTTTTGTAAAATTCGTGGCAAATTTGCCACGAATTTTGCCACGAAAATAGACAATATTAGAATAAATGCCTTTTTTTAAAATTCGTGGCAAATTTGTCACGAATTTTCCAACGAAAATAGAACATATTAGAGTAAATGCGTTTTTTTTAAATTCGTGGCAAATGTGCCACGAATTTACCAACGAAAATAGAACATATTAGAATAAATGCCTTTTTTTCAAATTCGTAGCAAAATTCGTGGCAAATTTGCCACGAATTTTCCAACGAAAATAGAACATATTAGAATAAATGCCTTTTTTTCAAATTCGTGGCAAAATTCGTGGCAAATTTGCCACGAATTTTCCAACGAAAATAGAACATATTAGAGTCAATGCGTTTTTTTGAAATTCGTTGGAAAATAGAACATATTAGAATAAATGCCTTTTTTAAAAATTCGTGGCAAAATTCGTGGAAAATTTGCCACGAATTTTTCAACGAAAATAGAACATATTAGAATAAATGCCTTTTTTTAAAATTCATGGCAAATTTGCCACGAATTTTCCAACGAAAATAGAACATATTAGAGTCAATGCGTTTTTTTGAAATTCGTGGGAAAATTCGTGGCAATTGCCACGAATTTTCCAACAAAAATAGAACATATTAGAATAAATGCCTTTTTTTTTTAAATTCGTGGCAAAATTCATGGCAAATTTGCCACGAATTTTCCAACGAAAATAGAACATATTAGAATAAATGCCTTTTTTTAAAATTCATGGCAAAATTCGTGGCAAATTTGCCACGAATTTTCCAACGAAAATAGAACATATTAGAGTAAATGCGTTTTTTTGAAATTCGTGGTAAAATTCGTGGCAAATTTGCCATGAATTTTCCAACGAAAATAGAACATATTAGAATAAATGCCTTTTTTTCAAATTCATGGCAAATTTGCCACAAATTTTCCAACGAAAATAGAACATATTAGAGTAAATGCGTTTTTTTTTTAAATTCGTGGCAAATTTGCCACAAATTTTCCAACGAAAATAGAACATATTAGAATAAATGCCTTTTTGTAAAATTCGTGGCAAAATTCGTGGTGCCACGAATTTTGCCACGAAAATAGAACATATTAGAATAAATGCCTTTTTTTAAAATTCGTGGCAAATTTGCCACGAATTTTCCAACGAAAATAGAACATATTAGAGTAAATACGTTTTTTTGAAATTCTTGGCAAAATTCGTGGCAAATTTGCCACGAATTTACCAACGAAAATAGAACATATTAGAATAAATGCCTTTTTTTCAAATTCGTGGCAAATTTGCCACGAATTTTCCAACGAAAATAGAACATATTAGAATAAATGCCTTTTTTTCAAATTCGTGGCAAAATTCGTGGCAAATTTGCCACGAATTTTCCAACGAAAATAGAACATATTAGAATAAATGCCTTTTTTTCAAAATTCGTGGCAAATTTGCCACGAATTTTCCAACGAAAATAGAACATACTAGAGTCAGTGCGTTTTTTTGAAATTCGTGGGAATTTTCCAACGAAAATAGAACATATTAGAATAAATGCCTTTTTTTAAAATTCGTGGCAAATTTGCCACAAATTTTCCAACGAAAATAGAACATATTACAATAAATGCCTTTTTTTTAAAATTCGTGGCAAATTTGCCACGAATTTTCCAACGAAAATAGAACATATTAGAATAAATGCCTTTTTTTAAAATTCGTGGCAAAATTCGTGGCAAATTTGCCACGAATTTTCCAACGAAAATAGAACATATTAGAGTCAATGCGTTTTTTTGAAATTTGTTGGAAAATTCGTGGCAATTGCCATGAATTTTCCAACGAAAATAGAACATATTAGAATAATTGCCTTTTTTTCAAATTCGTGGCAAAATTCGTGGAAAATTTGCCACGAATTTTCCAACGAAAATAGAACATATTAGAATAAATGCCTTTTTTTAAAATTCGTGGCAAAATGCGTTGCAAATTTGCCACGAATTTTCCAACGAAAATAGAACATATTAGAGTAAATGTCTTTTTTTGAAATTCGTGGCAATTGCCATGAATTTTCCAACGAAAATAGAACATATTAGAATAAATGCCTTTTTTTAAAATTCGTGGCAAATTTGCCACGAAAATAGAACATATTAGAATAAATGCCTTTTTTAAAAATTTCGTGGCAAAATTCTTGGTAAATTTGCCACGAAAATAGAACATAGTAGAATAAATGCCTTTTTTTGAAAATTTACCACGAATTTTGCCATGAAAATAGAACATAATAGAATAAATGCGTTTTTTTTATTTTCGTGGCAAAATTCATGGCAAATTTGCCACGAAAATAGAACATAGTAGAATAAATGCTTTTTTTTTTTAAAATTCGTGGCAAAATTCATGGCAAATTTGCCACGAATTTCAAAAAAATGCCGACAAACAAATGTAAAGTCATCCTCTTCGCCGTCCTCCTCGCCAAAGAAGAAGCCCGAACCAAATCTCCTCCTCGCCGTCGACTACGCCCAGATCTGGTCGCTAATTTCATCGCAAATTAGCCACGACAGCTACCTCAACAAACCCCAACACGTTTGATCACGATTTTAGATTATGTTTATTTCGCGGAAAATATAATATTTTCTTGAAAATGTTTATGAGAAGTCATTTTTCATGAAAATGATAATATTTTTTGGTATTTGGTTGAAGCTTGCAAATGAAATAAATTTTTTTTTCACCATTTGGTAGGGAAAATCTAAAAATTACCAAAGAATTTGAATTTTTTTCTTTTTTTTCCCTTCTTTCTCGGCTGATGGCCAGTAGCCGGCCACAAGCAAGGGATGACCTCACCAGCCTCGGGCGAGGCCCACGATCTATTGCTGATTGTGCTCGTGGTTGGCCACTGGGTGAGAGATAAGGAAAAAGAAAAAAAAAGAAGAGAAAGAAATTTCAAATTTCAAATTTAAAAAATAATTAAAACTATAAATTTTTTAGTCATATTTTTATAAAAGCGAACATTTCATTGATCACGGACGCGAGCCCGAGCGTCGAGGACCCGCGTACGGCCTTTGTGGACTAAAGCCCGAGCATTAGCGACTCGAGCACAGCTTTTATGAGCCTCCAGGCACCGGGGGTTCAACCCCGCCCTCGATAGACCTGGGCGTGGGTGCTGGGGACCCGGGCTCCAGGCCGATGGATACTTGGTCCCGAATGCCGGGACCTGGGAACCAACATTAAGATTTTCGTGCCCAACCGTAGAGTTTCAGATTCAAGTGCTGACACTTAATCATATATTTGAAATATTTTCCAACTTCTCAAAAGAAAAAATCATTTTCTCAAATTTAAGCATAAGGCTTCCATTGACTTGGGAAAATATTTTCCGTCGACTCATTTTTTTTTAACAATGCATTTTTCTTAGGTTGGAAATGATATTTTTTATATTTTGGCGGAGGGGTGTAGTGATAACTAAAGCGAAGATGCATAGTACTCTCCAAAAGTAAAAGTAATCTGTGCATTTGGTATTTTTCAAAAAGAAAAGAATATACCTTTTATCCATTTATTTCGTACTTTTTTAGTCTGTGTATTTTTTATTTATCTAACCAAGTTCTTTTATTTGCACAAATTTTCATTTAAGTCCAACACCAATTCGTGGCAAAATTCACGCGACATGTCCATGTAGAAATTCACATATTTTATTCGCATCATACATTAGCAACGTTCGACGGTCATATCAGCTAAATTCGAATGGATTTGATGTTGAAGGGACTTGAAAAAAAATTAGAAAGATTTTATTACCAAATTAAAATTAAAAGGACAGAGGCTTCATTAAAAATGCATGATAGTATATGGAAGAAAAGTATAATTTCTCCTTTAAAAAATAGACATATCTAAATAGTATCGGGTGGAGTGCGGACAGGCTAACACAACGTTCTTTTTCAATCTCCTATTAAGAGAAAAAAGTTAATCTCATACCCAAAAAATGATTTCATTAATTTAACATGTTATCCTTTTTTTCGAAATTGGCAAGGAGAGTATATTCAAGTACTCGAAATAACTCCAATCAAACAACTCGTTATCATCATTAGCGACGGATTTAGCCACGAAAAAAATCCGTGGTTAATTAGCGACGAATTTAGCTATGAACTTGACATTACCAATTTAAAAAATATAAAAATTTTGCGATGAATTTTTTTTCGTGGCTAATTAGCGACGAACTCTTATGTTCATCGCTAATTTTGGCGACTTAGCGACGAACTCTTATTTTCGTCGCTAATTTTAGCGACGAACAGAAGAGTTCGTCGCCAATTTTGCTCCCCGCCGCTTGACCTCGTGCAGATCTGGGCGAGGTCGAGCGGCCCCGCCCATTGCTGCTCGACCTCGCCGTCGCCCAGATCTGGGCGAGGGCGAGGGCGAGCGGTGGCCATGGGAGAGGCCGGGATCCGGTGCTTCGTCGCCGAGGGCCCCGCAATCTCCCAGCCGAGGACCGCCGGCGGGGGACTGGTTGATTGCGTGGTGGTCGGGGGCGGGATCAGCGGGCTCTGCATCGCCCAGGCGCTCACCACGAAGCACCGCGACAAGGCCCCCGACGTGGTCGTCACCGAGGCCAGGGACCGCGTCGGTGACGACCACGTCGTCAGATTTCCGTCCCTTCATCGCGTTATTTTCCACTGAATGCATCTTCAGACGTACTTCTTCTCCAGGTATTACAAACTACAGAACACTCTCCAATCTGCATTTTGTACTTGATATGAAGGCTATGTTACTCTAATGTTCATATGCAGTTGGATCTATATACCGCATCCAATGGAGTTCTAATTAGAAATGCTGCCAGAACTAATCCCAAAGATCCTTCTATCGAGTTGGGACCTGAATTTGATAAGGTGAAGGTTACTTTAGTTGTGTATTCTTATTCCGCCTATTACGAATATTAATGTCATGTTTCATTATATCTGCCTTTTTCAGTTGGGAAGTTTTGTGAGCCGCTTCGAGTCTATTCCCAGTGTAGTTGAGTTGGATAGCTTGAAAGTCACTGGTGATGTGTAGTTTGGAAATGGCATTAAGCTCAAGGTATAGACATTGCGCTTGGCATTTGTTTTTATATACTTTGTCCGATTATTGAGGATCTACTACAAATTTATGGGACCTACAGTAAAACCCATCAGACCACCGGTTAAATTGTGAAGATTTGCTTACTCTGTTGAGTCCATCTATAGATGTAAATCTATGTTTAGTTAAAGATGCAGTGTTTGCAATTTAATTTAGATCTAGGCTATCTTGCAGACTCCCCTCTCTACAGAATTTATTCTGTCTCATGTGTTAAAGTACTTTTAAATGTAATTTGTAGTCAATCATTACAGAGAATTTACTGTGAACTTAGACATATCAGGATGGATATATTTTGTCTAAAATGTTATGTGAAGTAATCATTTAGTACAGATGGCGATTGTCATAACCATTTCGTGTTGTTGATCTCATTTCAGTAGCAATGGATTTTCACTTATGTACTTTGAAGGTTTCACAGTAAAGGGATTGGGATTGCAAGGTATGAAATACCTGGATGTCCTTTTATAATATATCTATGTATCTTTAGTACCTTGGTCTCCCCTGATTATGTTGGAGAGTGTGGTTTTGGTTTTGAGGAAGTAACTTAAACATATCGAGAACCTGTAGTAGCAGATTGAACCTAAGCTATTCTACATTGTTTTGGCATGATACTTAGTATTCTTGTTTGAAATAACAGGAGGAAGGATGTTGCATCTTTCTTGGGTAAGTTAACCAATGAAGAGATGGTCAATGCAATGCATGTTCTGCTTTTGTATCTACGAAGTGCTCCAGATGATGAAAAACCTTTGGTTGCCATACTTATGCTGCACTTTGATCTACTGGTATACTTTCTTGACTATTCATTTTGTAGTTTTTGGGATTTTATTGGATTTTGAATTTGATATTTGTAACTTCTCTTCTTGCCCATTTTTGAGTTGCGTCTGTAAGATATGCCTCGGTGAGTATGACGAAATTTATGGTGATTAACTTGGTATTGGAATTTGAAGATGCAGTGTGAATTTGCAGATTTAATGAAGCCTACTCTTATTTTTTGGTTATCTATTCCAGAAAATTATGGCTAAGATAACACTTTGGTGCAGGTAGAACCTCGAAAGTACAGCATATACAGAGAAGAGGCTGTTGATGCAATTTCTGCATAAGTTATGCAAATGAGAGGTTGCAACAACATTTCAACTGGCATCTGTTAAAACTGGAGCAGGAAGTGAGCATCACACATGGACCGTATCTTTAGTAGTTTTGTTTAATATTTATATGATGGGGATTGTCGCTAAAAGCAGGATATTCTTTTTTGATTCATTTATGTCGTCATTATTTATTGTGCAAGATTATTTATTCTCTCATTATGTGTACTATAAAGAAAAATATTTATGTCATTCTTGTGGAAAACGTTGATGAATGTATTTCATTTTCATATTATTATAATATTTTGACGTTATTAAGTGCTCAATGTTAAATATAAATTCTAGAAATTAATTTTTCTTTTAATTAGGTTTAAAATCGAAAAATAAAATATTAGATTATGTTTAAATTCGTGGCAAAATTCGAATTTTGCCACGAATTTTGCAACGAACTTTGTCACGAATTTAGCCACGAATTGGTTTTTGTCGCAAATTACCAACGAAAATTCAAATTTTTTGTCGCCAAAATTTGCGAAAAAAAATTTGCGACGAATTTTTTTGTTCGTCGCTAATTTCGTGGGAAATTCATTTTGCCACGAATAATTAGCGACGAATGTTGCCACGATTTTTGCAACTAATAATTAGCGACGAATTTTGTAACGAATTTAGCCACGAATTTATCTACGAATTTTGCCACGAATTTGTTTTCGTCGCAAATTACCAACGAAAAATTAAAATTTTTTGTCGCAAAAATTTCCGACGCCGAATTAGCGGCTAATTTTTTTTCGTCGCTAATTTCGTCGGAAATTCGTTTTGCCACGAATTTTACCACGAATAATTACCGACGAATTTTGCCACGATTTTTGCAATGAATAATTAGAGACGAATTTTGCAACGAACTTTGCAACGAATTTAGCCACGAATTTTGCGACGAAATTTTTTTCGTCTCAAATTACCAACGAAAATTGAAATTTTGTCGCAAAAAATTTGCGACGACGAATTTTTGTTCGTCGCTAATTTCGTTGGAAATTCGTTTTGCCACGAATTTTGCTACGAATAATTACCGACGAATTTTGCCACGATTTTTGCAACGAATAATTAGCGACGGATTTTGCAACGAATTTAGCCACGAATTTTGTCACGAAAAATTTTGTCACAAATTACCAACGAAAATTGAAATTTTTTGTCGCAAAAATTTGCGACGACGAATTACCGACGAATTTTTGTTCGTCGCTAATTTCATTTTCCAACGAATTTTGCCAAATTTTTCGTGGCAAAACCCTTGTTTTTTTGTAGTGTGCATTAACTTACATCTTCAATCACTTGTTTTTTTTTTTCCCGAGTGATGGCGATTCTATCGGGTATCTACCATTTTCAATCACTTGAGAGTTCTAATCAACCTTTTACTTTAAAAAAAAATTAAGATAATTTATGTTTTGTGAAGGTACCACGGTAATGCGCAGCTGCTTCTTTGCAAGTGCGCGAGGCCCTGTGATATATTTTCTCACTAGCTTTGAAGGAGATTCTTAAACGCCTCATAATTATATCGCATAACCAACACATGTGGAGGTGAGTATATAAACAATGTTTAGGTAAAATTGTCCAAAAAGTCATAAATTTATTGCACTTTTACCAATTTAATCATAAACTTTTCAATTTTACCAATTGAGTCATAAACTTTTTCATATTTTTCCAATTCAGTCTATCCGGCCAATTTTGACCGTAATTCGTTGATGTGGATACTAGTCGTCCTACGTGGCACAACCGACGCTGACTTGGATAATTTTTAATAATATTTTTTTCTTTTTTTTTTTTCCTACTTCTTCCTCCTTTTGCCAGTGACTGGCCATCGGCCATGGCTGAACGGGCTGGTCACCTGGGCGAGGGTCGTCATCACTACCACTAGTGAGGCCCGACTGGGCAAGGGTGAGCCCCAACGAGAGCTCCCCTCCCCAAATCTAATGAGGCTGGCCCTCACTCGATTTGGCGAGGTGAGTCAGCCTTGCCAGGCCATGGCGGCCTCGCCTAGGTGACACCCGGCGAGAGTCGGCCTTGTCAGATCTGGCGAGGAGAGCCCTTGCTGTGGCTCACCCTCACCCAGGTAGGCCTCGCCCAAGCAAGGCCAACTTGGTTGGCCATGGCTGGTCATCAGCAAAAGGAAAGAAAAGAAAAGAAATCGAAAAAATATTAAAACATGATAAAAATTTGTCCACGTCGGTGTTGGGCGTGATACGTAGGACAACTATCGTTCGCATCAATGAATTCCGGTCAAAATTAACCGGATGAACTCAAGGCAAACCACGTCCACTATCGCAATGTTTTCGTACCCAGATGCTACAGAATTGTCAATACAATCTCTTGCCCGATTTCTTTCCTTTCCCGTTTTGTTTTGTTTTATTTTTTGTTTTGAAGGACGAGGGTATCTGAGTAGCAAGGCTCGTTGAGCTCGGATCATGAGAAGCCCACCCAATTCATTCCGAATTTGTGTCTAACTCTTGCATTGTAAGATTTTTTAAACAGAAAGTCGTTTAAGGTTGGACTTGACCCATCAGGATTCAAGCGGGTCGGATTTTGCTTGGCAATTTAGGTATTAGGCCCATAAAATCACGCACAATGAAAATCATTTACTAGGCCCACAAGGAAGGACCGAACCCCAAAGGTTCCAAAGTCCATTTGCCGTTGGCAAAGCAGACGCTGCTATCGCGGGAAAATTACTAAAATAGTCATGAACGTATAGCGGTTGTGCCAATTCAGTCCTAAATCATTTTTGTATTTGTGCCAATTCAGTCCATCTGACCAATTTTGACTGGTCGGTGTAACGTGGACATCGACTGACGCTCATGTAGCACTTTTTAAGTTTTTTTTTCTTTTCTCTTTCCTTTTTTTTTTTCCTTTCCTTCTTCCCATGGCCGATAGTCGAACCGGTTAGAGGCTAGGGTCGGCGAGGTCGGCCAGGGTGAGGTCGACCTCATCGGCCCTAACCTTTGGTTGGTTGCCAGCCAGGGAAAGAAGGAAAGGAAAAAGAAGGAAAGCGAAAGGAAAACAAAGTAAACAAATAAAATAAAAAAACAAAAAAAAATATTTAAAAATTGCCATGTCGGCGTTAACTGAATAAACTGAATTGGCATAAATACAAAATATTTAGGATTGAATTGGCAAATAGGTTTGGGACTGTTTTGATAATTCTTCCTTGCTATCGCATTGCCGACAAAAGATGATCTTAGAGTTTGCTCCCCACCTTACGGTATTGGGTTCAAGTTGTTATTAACAGCACTTGTAAGAGCAAAATTCCGAATGCATCGGCCAACACGATGGAGCGTACCCTTAAGACCGCAAGGGAAGGTGTACCGTTCGAGGCGCGGGGAAACTGATGCCGACACTACCTCATCGCTAAGCTGTAAGGATCGAAAAGCGAAAAATGCCGTGCTAAATGATTCCAACCTCACATGCACTTGCATGCAAACAAAACACGACCAAACCCCGAGGGATCATATGCATTTCTGTCCAGAGTTGTCATAAAACGAATCGGAGAGAAATAAGTTATCTTCTTGGCGGTTTTTGTGGGAATCCTTAGGCTGGTTTGAAAAAACAAATGATAGCCTGTGCTGTGGAATCGTATTGCGAAAAGATAGACAGACACGTTATGGCTGGTAACTTATGTTGCGAAAGATAGCCTGTGGAATCATGTGGTTTGTGTAGTATTCTTCGTTGGAAATCGAGGAAGTGGACGTGGATTGGCCTCATTTTATTGGTTATGTCTCTTTGGGAGTCGGAACACATCACATCAAGACTATCCCTCATCACGGGAGAAGGACAAAACTGGCCTTCTCTCGCGTCCCGATAAAGAAATAACCTCGAGACTGTCATTCGGAAAATTAGGAAGACATTGAACCCAGTGAATAATCTCGATCGATTTATATAAAATGGTATGGTTTATATGCACATGCGAGAGCTGATGAATGAAATGTTCTAAATATTTTATAATGGGCATTGTCGAGAGACAAAAGAGA